CTTAGAGTGAACACTGATAATATTTTCAAGAATTTATTTGTAGGGATTTGATTTCGGTTCAAGTTTGATGAAGGATACATAACATCAGTTACTGGACTTACTGGACAATCAGCCGTTTCGCCCTAGTTCGGGACTCATCAGCAGTAGGTACCCACCAGTTTTCGAATCCGGTCGGGAGTGAAGACGAATTACTCGCCGGTGTCAGTAGCGTTAAAATCACGAATTGTTAGAAGTTGGAATTCATAGGCTGGTCATTGAGTCAGATGATCCCAGTGGCTGAGTGGTCTACGAGCTTGTCTTGTAACCGAAAGGTACTGGGTTCGAAACCCCTATTATTTATGTGAAGGATAATGATGGCTACCACCTACCCACAGTTGTCAATATTACACGTAAGTGGAATGGCATTCGGAACTTCGCACCTACTCAGTAGACTTGAAAGTCGACTAAATAAACCACTCATCAACCTGCCCGGCGATTTGGCGGGTGGTGACTAGCAATGAAATACAGCCAGAATGTACATGCCATCTTATTCAGGACTCGTCAAAAGGATGTACGTGCAATCTTCTCCATGAAGTGTGATGAAGCAGTGTCCCCCTGCTGAGACTTGAATTCAGCACTTATCGTTTCATCAAACATAAATTTCGCTCCAATATTATAAACGAACAACCGGAAGTACAAAATCTTAAATCGATAAAAGACAAACAATTATCGATACCTGTTGAACAAGAGAAAGCGTCTCTTGTAACTTAAGTGGATAACGCTTTGGTGTTTGAAACGAAGGCTACTGGATGTGTTCGACTCCCAGAGGGAACATCCAGTTGACAAGTCACATACAGGACGAAATGAGCATCGTGGATTTCCTTGCTGACCACCATCTACCAAATGATATGTTATTCCTTTAGAAGCGTCGTCGAAGTGTCTACACAAGTAACCGCCATGTCAACAGAGATCGAACATTTCAATCCCTTATAATCAATTTTAGTAGGAATTTCAAAATAACTTGAACATACAGAACGAACAAATTGTATACACAGAGTAGAGTGAAAACAGAAGTAAGAGAAAAGGCTGACTGCTACTAGATATCACCAATATGCCTCATTGCGGTCGACTGGATCATGAGGTAGATCATAGTGTGGTGTGTACTACTGATAAGACTTATCAGTAGTATATGAAGAGAAATTCATCATCGGCACAAAAATATCGAATAGCGGAGTGATAGATTGGGTGTTAAAGAGAGCAAACGATTCAGACGTTGCGGCAAAACATGGAAGACATGAAAAAGAAAGACAAAGAAACACAATACAAAGGAAAGGCAGAAGTAACACAGCATAGAAGATCTGTACAAGTGCCGATATGGAGATAAGGTATGCATAATTTCTTTATATAAAGAGATAACAAATTCCAAATAAACATTCCTTCACAAAGCCTCTTGTCTTCTAGCATCATAACAGGAAGCGAAAAGATCGACATACACTGCGGCCGACAGAAGACGTCTTCTCTAAGAGATCTGGACTTCATGGATGATTTATGTCAAATTTCATACAAACTTGAAGACCTACAGACGAAAACCACCAAATTGATTAAAGAGGTAGACAGCAAAGATGACTTCAAGTGATGAACACAAGAAAGGCAGAGGTAATGAGGATGCTGGACTGTCAACGACCATTTTTGCACCAATCACAAATCAATAGGGGAAATCTACTAAAAGTCACATCCTTTTTCACTCAACTAGGTAGTATCAGTTTACCTACAATATGAAGGTGTCAAAGCCATCCGGCGATGAGCACGTCACCAACAGGCTTCTTTGGTCAACGTATAGCTTCGCTCATTACTGAAGATTCCATGACCGGCTTGAAAGGGTAAATAACAATGGACTCAGTGATGGTAACAAACCAAATAACAACCTTTTGCCCTACAAACAAGTATGTATAAGGAAATGGAGATGGACTGAAAACCCCGTTGAGGAGACGGTTGACTGAAATCGTGAGCCAGACTGACGCTCGAGTGGAATGTGGATGCAAAACGATCAGCTGGACTTCAAAAAGCGACATAATGAGAACTAATAAACTGACTGACTGGTTGCAACATAGATAGAACTTTGCATAGATGTCAAGCATTGCAACTCGCCACTCTCCCTCCATGTACCACACAAAGCAAGAGAAGAAAGTAAAGAGAGATTCTAAAGACAGAGATAATGAACAGAAATATGAGGCAAGAAGAATAGTAATCTAAAAGAACAATAGAGTTTTATTGTATGATATGACAAATCACGATGGGTGAATGTATCTGCACCAGCCATTGACAATGATTTTGAGCCATATCATCGATAATTGTCGCTAGCCGACATCGGTTCTTACTATCCCGAAAACCCCAACCAGGAAGTCTACACCTCCCTACATGGCTGGCTTAAACTAACTGTTATGGATTTCATTCACTAATGAAGCAATGTTTTAGTTTGACCACCAACCACTAACTCTTTTTCAACAACCTAATCTTACGTCAGTTAACATTGCTGGTTGTCAAGGAAGGCGATAACTGGGAATGGTACAAGTCACACATGTCCTAACCATCTGAAACGCTGGTGCTTCACAATCTCGTCGATTGACTTTTCTTCCTTATCTAACATTCGACTCCTAATTAACTCACAGTATTACTCACCCTATTTTATCACATAACACGGGATGTAGATATAACGCAGGCAATTATGATCAAAGAGAGCTAGTTAGCCACAACAGTTAGTTTAAGCCAACCACGTAGGGGGGGTGAACTGTGTGGCTGGTTGAGATCCTCGTGAATCTAAGATCCAATGACTGCAGAATATTAGTGATATGGCTAAAAATCGTCGTTTTCAAATGGATGGAGCAGATACATTCACTCACCCTCTTTGTGATGCTTTGTCATATTGTGGTGAGAGATGGTTGCTAGCCAAATTGCTAGACAGTAATTGACGTCAATGTTTATGTCTAAAATATTAGTCATGTGAAAACAAGGTCAAAGATGGACAGCAAACTTTGCGTCGGCCGATACAGTTAGCACATAGATGATCTGACACAGCCACAAAGAGATGCAAGGTTAATTGTCTGTGAGAAACAACCAATCAAAAGACTACATTTTCCACTAACAATAATGTACATTAAAATCTATAAATATCTGTTGATTTTCCTTAAATAAACGATCTGTTGCCTGGCCCTTGTCTTCTATTGTTACAATATCATCCAATAAAACTCTATTGTTCTTCCACCATACTGCTACTATTCGTTTCCCCTCACTCACATTTCCGTTTATTATCTCTCTGTCTTTTGAATCTCTCTTTACTTTCTCGTCTTGCTATGTGCACTACAAGGAGAGACAGAACTCAAAATGGTGCACATCTGTGAAAAGTTCTATCTATGTTGAAACAAGTCAGTCAGTCAGTAGAACTTTGCATACTTACTAGTGAGGCAGTTCAAGTTGACACACTTCATGTTATCACACAAAGCTAAAGAGAAAAAAAGGGGAATTAAATGAACTACAATCAGCAGAAATATCAGTCAGACAGACTAATTACATGCAGAAACATGACAGTTTAATGCAATTGAAAGCTAAAAAAGAGGGAATACATCTTCGACGCCATTGACAACAATTTTCAACCATCTCACCAACAGTCTACACTCATTTGTTCTCAACATCCCGAGGTCGTCAACCTGACAGGTGATCCGCACTAGCCAACTGCCAAAGATGTCATGAATTGAACCCAACCTTATGTAAGTCAGCTAACGTTACTACTCATCGAGGAGTGAGGCGATTAGGCATGCGCGACGCATGCTTTAACCACCATTTCAATCGAGATGTAACTTCACAACTTCTTCGATTGACTTCCTCTCCTGTCTCATACCGATAAAGAAGAACAGAGGTAACTCCAGTACAGTCATTCCATTCTGCTGGATATAAACGTTTTTGACAGAGATGACATAAGTTGGCAAATCCCATAAGAGCCCTATATATCCGTGTTAAGATTTCGTCAGTCCTATTAGGCTAGAGGTAACTTCCCAAATAAGTCAAGTCAATATGCTAAGACGAGTCTGTCTGTTTTCGACATAGAACTTTGCACCAATGTGCAGCAGTTCCAGTCGCCACACTCCCTCCATGTAGCACACAAAGCAAGAGAAGAAGAAAGTAAAAAGAAATGCAAAACAGAGAAAGTTACAGAGATATAAGGCAAAAAGAATATTAATAACGAAGAACAAAACAGTTTCATTGGAAAATCATAAGTCACAAGGAGTGGATGCATCTGCGACAGCCATTGAGAACGATGAGTTTGAGCCATATCGCCAATTGATTTCAGCCATTGAATTTCACCGTGCCGAGGACCCCAACCAGTCAGGAAGTCTACACCTTCCTACGTGGCTGGCTTAGACTAACTGTTGTAGATTTCATTGACTGGTGCCATGTTTTGGTTTGACCGCCGCTAGCTCTTTTCCAGCTTGACCAATCCTATATCAGCTAACATTGCCCGTCAAGGTAGGCGATGGCTAGGCATACACAACACATGTCCTAACCATCTCAGTCGATGTAATTTCACAGCCTCGTCGATTGATTTCCCCTCCCACCCACCTAGCACTCAACCGATGCCTGACCTCAATATTGCTCACCTTATTATACCACTTCACACGGGAGATAGAACGCAGGCACCTATGATCGAAGAATGCTAATCTTTTCATATCTTCCACTCTCAATGTCCATCATGTCTCACAGCCATAAAGGAGGACGGAGCGGACTACTGAGCAGTCAGTCGGAGTAGTCCAGTCTTTCAGCATCATCTTTCATCCAACAAAAGCAAATCACAGCAAAATACATTCACTATTACAGACAGAAGATTTGATACTTTCAAAAATACGAAAAACCTAAATGAACAAGAATGCAATTATAACAGAGGCTGAACAATTTTGACAAGAAGTCGCCCAGTGCTTTGATTCTTTTTTCAAAAATCAATAGTAGTAATAATAATAATAATAACTTACAGTGCTACTAATCTTATCCAATAAGATCAGTATATTATCACAATCTGATTTTGTAATATCAATTAAATTCAGTATACACTTCACTAATTCTGTACAAACACAATTACACAGGATACCTAAAAAATAGGCATTTGAAAAAGAAAAGAAAAAGAAAATTTAAACGAATTATTATCATTATTATTTTATGAGTAAGTAACACAAACCTATTCAATTCAGTAAAACAATACAGGATGTTTCATTTAAGCTTAGATTCTCTCGCCCCAGGGAAACAGATATCTCCTGTGCTAGGCTATCATGTTATTTTACTCCTTTTACGTTCCCAGTGGAACATAGGGCACCTTCAAGCTAGAGCTTTCAAGTCTCAGCATCAGTGGCATACGAGCTAGCTTGCCTTGTAACCGAGACGTCCTGGGTTCGAACCCCAGTTGGTGGGTGCGAACTGCCTGCCAATGATTCCCAAACTAGGATGACACAGCTGTCTAGTACTCCAATGCTGGTTTTCAATGGTTCTCTAACTGATATCAATCCATGATCAACTCGTAAAAACATATTAAGTAATTGACCATAGCAAAGAAAGGGGCTGTACCTATATTTCTTTTGAAAACACAGATTTGGCTTGTTGAGATGAATTCTGACTGCCTCTGCTGCTGTTGCTGCTGTATGTAAAAGTCGTACTCGTAGACTACGCGAGAGCTCGGGTGAAATACGATAACATTTTAAAAGCTTTGTTAGAGTGAAATTGATGTCTGGTATCGAAGAGATGAGCTAGTATTGAGCTGCATCTAGCTTTATTCGGATCTTTGCGAAACCAAGTTGGTAGGTGTTCAGAAATTCGACAATGAACTTGCCTGATCATACGCCCAATGTAACTAGCTCCACACAGGCGCTTAAACTAATAAATACACATGGAAAAGGCGAAACAGAGCAGTTCACCCTTATTTCTTAAACTACATATTGGTTGGCTAGTTGACTTCAATAATACCAAGAAATAAATGTGATGTTGCTCGATTGGTGTGCGTTTCGTCCCACTTGGGACTTGTCAGATGGGCGCACCTAGATATCCCCAGTGAATAATAGTGTTACTCTACTGAGAATCGAACACAACGCCAATCATCCCATTGGTAGAGTAATATGACGTTTTTGAGTTTGAAACGCCAGATGCAGGATCCGTATATCACACACACACACACACAATGGGGGAATGTAGAGGTACACGCAGCTAACAAATCACAAATAGGACGAAACGCGCTCCCTAAATTCTACAAATGATCCAAACGTCACGAAGAAAATAATCGAAAAACTAAAACGGAGTGTAGGTAGGCGTGAATAGGCAGTAACATGTTGTACATTTAGACTCCCTGTCTAGTCATCATTTCAAAACAAAATTATTATTATTATCATTATTACCATTATCATTCGTATACATCTTTACTTTTGCTGTAAACCATAAACAACAAATTTGCCCGCTAATGTACTTTTATATTAATCTTTAAAACATCTGTAGTAAGAAAGGCAATGGTTATATATGGGAAGTAGTGAGGGTATCAGGAGTTGTTGTTGTTATTGTTGCTTTTTTTTATAAATCTGTACGTGATATGAAAATAAAATGTGTATAGGTGAAAAATCCGGCACACACCATTTGTCTGTATGCTTACAATATGAAATGGAAAACATTCATGTGAGATAGTACCGTATCAGTTGAAGTGTTGATTATATACCGCCTTGCATTCCAAGTGGAACACAACAAAGTTTCAAGCTGGGGTTTTTTCTTAACAGGAGTCAGAGGTTCTCCAACCTCACCCACCCAATACACACCCAACTCGCATCATTTACGGGCTTACTACCTACCACCTACCTATCTAGGTGAGGTTCAACAGTACATCAGCCGGAAAATAAACTCAGTCTTTCCGATGTAGTTAGCGAGGATTCTACCCCCGAAAATGCACCAACGTGTACCACTCACATACACATCCATAATGAAAAACTTTAGACTTACAATAAGGGCAATCAGAATAATAATAATGATAATAATAATAACAACAACTGAAAATTAGTCAGTTAAATCTATTTTTCATCATGAGCTGACATTAGTTAGAGAACCATTGGAAAACCTGGGAGTACTGGACAGTTGTTGCGTCCTAGTTTGGGACTCTTCATCAGTACGCACCCACCGGGATTCGAACCCAGGACCTTCTGGTTTACAAGGCGAGCTCGCATACTATTAAGCCACTTGGACCCGATCCAACGGCCCATGAACTCTAACTTCTGCCAATTCACGACATAGCGCGACCCTACCAACCAACACTTGAATATCAATGAGATGCTCACTGGCCCTATTCAGGTAGGTAGTTAAATGAGGTTCTAGTGAGAAGTCGTGACCAGTAGGGTGCAGCAGGTGGTCGGGTGTGAGGACAAATACTCGCCGAAGACATTGGCTAAGGGTCGCGCTATGTCATGAATCGGCAGAAGTTAGAATTCATGGGCCATTGGATCGGGTCCCAGTGGCTTGATGGTATACGAGCTCGCCTTGTAAACCAGAAGGTCCTGGGTTTGAATCCCGGTGGGTGCCTACTGTGAAGAGTCCCAAACTAGGAAGAAACAGCTGTCCAGTACTCCCAGGTTTTCCAATGTTTCTCTAACTAATGTCAGCTCATGATGAAGATCCTGTAACCAATCAAATCTCTACAAACCAAAACTTGAAAATCTATTTTTCCTTGTAATTCAAAACGTGCCATTCATTGTCTATCAAAGTCCCTCGCTTATTATCAAGTGTTACGCAATCGCTGATTTATTTTATGCCTACAATTTCCCATCATCAAATCTGTTGTTTTATTTTAGAATTATCTTTAGGCATTGTTTATGTTGCTTAATTATTATTATTATTTTCTTTTAGTTCATAGAGGAACACCGGACTTCAGCCGCACGTCTCCATTGCGTTCGGTTCTCCGCCAACGTTTTCACCTGGCTCCACGTCTGCCCACATGCTTTCGTCTCCCCCTCGCATAACCTCTTTCATGTTACCCTCGGACGACCAACTGACTCACCGCTTCCCATTCAGTGGCTTCCACTCGAGCAGTGGTCTCGCATGTGATGTTACTCACTTGATTATGGTTTGCTTTCCCAGAGTATGGCCACCAATCCACCTCCATCTCCTCCTGCATATTTGTTGCATAATCGGTTACTACTAGGTTGGTTCGCTCATCGCTAGAGATCCCTGTTGCTGATCTTTTCTGACCAGCCATCTGATCTTGAGTAGTATTGAGCAAAGACAGCTGTGGATAACAGTCCGTAGTTTATTTGAAGTGCCCTTCGTGATGCGGCACGGCACGGCCGGTCTGAACTGGCTTTTCGGTTTAGTTCCGTACTAGTAACTTAACGCTGGCTACGGACCACCGTAGTGCAAGTAGGGACGTACAATTTTCGGGGTCGACCTTTTCTAGCCTATCCCACTCCGCTCTCCAGAGTGGAGAAACAGCATAGCTGACTAGCATGCTGGTCATCAGAGGGAGAAAAGCTTACTACTGTTACATCTCTGTTCCTCAGCAGTACGACTTCACCCACAGACCCCCAGCATAGTGTGAAAAAAATCTTACACTATACCAGTAACTGCTTTTAGTCTAATCGCTATCGTAGCAATCTTTCTGGCATGGTAAGACCAGCAGGAAAATTAATTCCAGCTAGTGTAGCTTGTTGGGTGATTGCGATATGCAAGCCCGACCACCACGTCAAGGTAGCAGCTATCAGTCGGGTATTATTATTATACAACCTGCTGTACCCCACTGGTTACGGCTTCCCCCTAGAACCCCAGGTTGACTGCCTGAATAGGGCCAGTCACTAGTGAGCATCAGATTAATTTCAAGTATGGGTTTTGTAGGGATTTTGTTTGATTGTATGGAGGATTTCATCATGATCTGATATCAGTTAGAGAACCACTGGAAAACCTGGGAGTACTGGACAGCTGTTTCGTCCCAGTTTGGGACTCTTCATCAGAAACTTGTTACATCATTGGTATCAAGAGATGAACCAAACAAAATCGCATAGTTTGTACGACGACCCGGATACTTCCCAGATGTCCAGATAAAAGCAGATGGTTGTCTTAAGAGGTCACTCCTCTCCCCAAAACTTTGACTTGAAGCCTGCTCCACAAGACAGTGGAGCGTCCCGGTGGTTGATGGTAACCAAAACAGGTTCATACACCATTCAATCCTTTCCGATTCTGGATGTAGTCCATGGTACATCATAGGTTTGAAATCAGGGTTTTACAGCTGCCTTTTGTAAGTAGACTTCTATGTTAACCAGTCAGGTTGTAAGTGACAGAACTTCGCTTTCACCGTTTCACCTTTGTGAGGAACACCCCCCATCACCGCATGAAGGCAGTGAATAGAACTTACCTGGCTGACAGAGGCTATGAACACATGGAGACATGAGAGCATTTCAAGTGGAAGACTGAAGTCCACTACTCACTCTCTCGAGGCCGTTATCAGGTCGTTTATTAGGGCTTTGAAAAACGAATCATCTTCAATTGATTGCCATTCGTTTCCTACCTCAGCAACTAGACACTTAGATGTGTTAATAAAACTCTAGCCTCCAGCTGTCAGTAATAAAAATTTCACGCACAGATACATACGTGGAACGAAATCAGCCATAAGGCAATGAGCCAATCAGTTAACTTGATGTGTGTGATACTGACAACAGATTATAAGTAGTGCATTAAGGGTGATGACTTTTGAAAGAATCTTGAATAGCGTATCGATAGATTATGTTACGAATAAACGAAATGAAAGATACTTATTGGGAAATATGAGAAGAATCAAAGGACGACAAAACATGCACAGCGCGAACAACATTTCAAAATTGAAATTTCAAATGTATTTGATCACCACTGTATGAGACATACTTTTGTCAAATGAAAGATTCCGCTAAAAGACACAGACACGACTATGTCCTATGATGTTACAATTCAACCTAGTAAGATCCCTTCACATCACCTCCAGACAGGCATGGACACATACGTATAATTATTAGCGCTGGAATGTTTGGCTCCAGCTGACATGTCAACTCCTAGTGCGGACGCTTAGACGATATCCGACGATTACACCATTGACGTTATTCAGTGGTTAGTGGCTAGTAGTTGGATTCACATCGATCGTTTCGTCCTGCTTGGGACTCATCAGCTTGGATGAATGTGCCTACAATCCCTAGTGACTAAAAACTGGTAATCCCATTACGACTCGAACCAACTACCCCCTTCTTTTACAAAAAGGCATGTGTGCGGTTTGATCAATAATTGAATGAATAAATGTAAAAATATATCAATAAATAGAATCTTACCTATTGCACGATAATAAATCGTATGTGGTAGGCAGGCAAGAACATCAGCAATTTTAAGCAAATGACGACAACAATCATCTATAGAAGTAGTACATCGATTGTAACCAAGTGAAGAACTGACATCCTTTACAGGAGAAAAAGAAAAATATTTCTTGATTAAAACATGCAGACATAAGTAAATAAAAACAACAAATAGGTTGGACATAGATTGTATAGAGGCATAATGGAATAAGGGACTAACTAGCTGACACGGGATGACTAACTGACTGACTGGTTTCAACAGAGTTAGAACTTTGCACCAATGTGCACCAGCTCAAGTCGCCACACTCCCTCCATGTACCACACAAAGCCAGAGAAGAAGAAAGTAAAAAGAAACGCAAAATAGAGACAGTAAACATAGATATAAGGCATAAAGAATAGCAATATCAAAGAACCATAGAGATTTATTGGATATTATAAATTACAAAGAGTGAATACATCTGCACAATGAATGAGAACAATTTTGAACAATATCACCAATAATTGTCTCCAGCCTTCATTGGTTTTTACCGTCCCGAGGAACCCAACCAATCAGTTAGGAAGTTTACACCTCCCTACTTGGCTGGCTTAAAGTAACTGTTTTGGATGTCACTGCTCAATGAAGCAATGTTTTGGTTTGACCACTAACCACTTACTCTTTTCCAGCCTGACCTTATGTCAGCTAACATTGCTTGTCGTCGAGTAAGGCGATGACCAGGCATCCATAACACATATCCCAACCATCTCAGTCGATGTAACTTCACAGTCTCGTCAGTTGATTTCCCCTTCCACCTACCTAGCACTCGACGTCGAAACTCAATATTGTTCACTTTATCATACCACTTCACACAGGAGATAGAACGCAGGCACCTATGATCAAAGACAGCTAGCTAGCCTTTTCATGTCTCCCATTCTTAATGGCTATCATGTCTCACAGCCAGCCATGAAGGAGGACGGAGCAGACTGCTGAGCATTACACACGCCCTTTGGTCGATAGACAGCTGGATATCACGTTTACGCCAGAGACGGCGTAAACTGGCAAGAAGAAACTGTAGCTGTGAAAACATCAATCAACCGAGAACCGATTTCTCAACAAATACGTAGGAGAAAATGGAGATGGATGGATCGGGCATGCGTTAAGGAGTTCTTCGAATGACATCGCGAGCAATGCAGGCCGTTGCTAGAGTGGATCATGTGGGTTGCAGGAGATGAGAGATTATGAGCAATCATGGAGCCAGATGAAGAGGACAGAAGAAAATTTAACGTGAAACTCCTCACTCTTTTTTTTCTCTGAAACTTTCATGTTGTTTTTTACTCGTTCGGTGGTAGTGGTGCATTTCGTCTTTTCCGGAACTGCTTCTCAAATGGATGCAATGGCATCCTACCAAGTGAGTCCCAAATAGGTACGAACACGTACGATTTGGATTCTTAACAGCTAGTAGCCACCACCACCAAATAAATAAGATTGTGATATGTGCTACTGACGAGATTGATAAGTAGTATATATATGCAGATAAAAATATCTATATTATTTGCAAGAATATCGAATAGCGGATGGATGAATTTAATGAACAATGCTTATAAAACAATATAGAAAACATAAAAGGAAGACAATGAAGCACAATCCCGAAGATACGTCAGAATTGTGATTCTAATATATGGTGGACGTAGTTCGCTGCGTTGGTGGTAGTGACCAGTAGTCGAATTTAGGATACATATTTTATCCTGTTTGAGACTATTGTCTTGGTTGAATGTACCTGCAACCCACCGGAAACGTCCCAAATACGTAGGAAGGTCCAACCTGGATTCTAATTCTAATAGGCACATCACAAGTGTTTCATCCTAGTTTGAAACTCTTCAGCAATACGCACATATGACCACCATCAGGGTAACTAACCACAACCACGAAGTGACTTGAATTTTGCCTGAGAAGTGGTTAGCAGCGGCGTTCACCAGGGCGGGTGTGACGACAAATACTCTCCAATGACATTGATTAGCAGAGGCACTAGAATTCTTGGGTCATTGCATTTCGTCTAATTGGCTGTGAATAGACGTACCTAGACCGTCCAGTAACCTGAAGATTCTAGGTCGAATCCCTGGCGCAGGGTCGTGTGTGGGCATACTATCACAGATACTCCCACACTAGACCAGAACAGTCCAATAGTCCCTGGTTTTTAATGTTCCCTTCACTGATCTAAATCCATGATCAAACTGTAAGTAACACCTAACAATTTATCCATTAATATGTCGAATGACTTGAGGATTGTGGTCTAGCTTGGTCGATCGATCGGTCGGTCAATCGGAGGTTCTACAGTAGAATACTTACCAGACACACGCACACACATTCACAGGTTGTCCGATTTCCATTTCCGGTCGAAGTATACCGCCTAAACCTCATCATAGAATATACCAGTCGGTATTAAGTAGTCTAGATACAAGAGAGAGAGATGGCTGGGCATGGCATGGCATGAGAGAGACAGGCAAACACCTCACAATACCATCGTTACTAAAACTTCAAACTTTACAACACCACCAACAACAACAACAAAAAGAGCCGGAAATAAGTTTAATGATTATTTTATAAAATCCACCAGCTAAATTTACAAAGGTAAGCTGCATTAAAACACTAACAAACAAACAAACTCGTCTAAATGTCAAGGCAGTCAGTCAGCAGCATATGAATTAGTTTCACGTAAACAAAAACAGACAGCGTGATACTAGTAGTAGTAGGAGTGGCATATATATTTGTTTACATGTTTACCAAATGTTGAAGGTCATCTTATGCATAGTTTCCGACGATTACATCTCTTCACTCCCCCCCCCACTCTCTCTCTCTCTCTCTATCACTTCAAACTTTCGACTCTATACTATGCTATGCTATGATTCTACAGTGAGTAAAGTACACCGGACAAACTATAATAATAATAATAATATGAATAATTACGATTTCACCAAAAATACACTTCGTATAGGGTACAAATGAAGAAATACAACACAAGATATTAATTTAGCTGGGTTAAAAATCAGTTAGAACATGAGAATGCACCAAATAGACACGAATACGTGTTTCCATACACGATAATGATATGTACCGCTATGAGGTATCAATCAAATCACGCATATAGTGTGACTATTATTATTATCATTATTATTATTAAAATTCCATTATTATCACTCGTATTTTGTAGGAATGTCACATACATCCAAACATCAGAGGTTAACATTCCCATTCATACATGGGGTCAACTTGTGGGGTGAGAGCTGGCTGAGAACAAGCCAAAATTGTAGACAACAATTTACGTCAATGTTTACGTCTGACTGACTGACTGGTTTCAACACAGTTAGAACTTTGCACCGATGTGCAGCAGTTCCAGTCGGCACAATCCCTCCATGTAGCACACTCGAGTGCTAGGTAAGGAGGAGGAATTTAGTCGACGAGACTGTGAAATAACATCGACTGAGATGGTTAGGACATGTGTTACGTGTGCCTAGCTATTGCCTTCCTCGACGACAGGCAATGTTAGCTGACATAGGGTCAGGCTGGAAAAGAGCTGGCAACAGTCAAACGAAAACATGGCATCAGTCAATGAAATCTACAACAGTTAGTCTAGACCACGTAGGAAGGTGTAGACTTCCTGACTGGTTAGGGTCCTCGAGATGGTAAAAACCAATGGTTAGAAACAATTGGTAACATGGCTCAAAATCGTTCTCAATGGCTGTCGCAGATGCATCCACTCCTTGTGACTAGTGATTTCCAATGAAACTGTTTTGTTCTTCGTTATTAGTATACCTTTGTCTCACACCTCTGTTTACTATCTCTAATATACATTTCTCCTAATTTCTTCTCTTGCTTTGTGTGCTACAAGGAGGGAGTGTGGCGACTTGAACTGCTGCACATATGTGCAAAGTTCTATGTCGAAAACAGATAGACAAACATGTAGCACATAAGGCAAGAGAAGAAAGTAAAAGTAAATGCAAAATAGAGACAGTAAACAAAGATATGAGATAAAAAGAATGGTAATATCGAAGAACAATATAGTTTTATTGGAAATTATAAGTCACAAGGAGTAGATGCATCTGCACCAGCCATTGACAACGAGGACTTTGAGCCATATCACCGATAATTGTCCCCAGCCTTCATTGGTACTTCAATGATTAAAATTTATGAGAAATTAAAGAGCACTACTGGTCCACCATGCTGAAATAGAGTAGATTGCTTGACGAGGTCAATAGTAAGGGTAGTGTGCTGTATTACGAATTGAGAAATTTAGAACTTGCAGATCGCTGAGGAGTTCTGGCCCCAATTGGCTTAATGAACAATCCAGATTGGCGTCGTAACCTTTATGTGCCTAGTGTGTTCGCTCCCTGCTGGCATTGTCAATGAGCACTACTCAAGCAAGATTTTAAAAACTAGAAGGAGAAAACAATCCACTACTCCCAACTGATGCTAATTAGCATTCATAACAAAATCTAATAACTGAAATCAAATTAATCAAAATTCCCACAAATCCCATAATCTCTTATTGTCATTATTCTGATGGCACCAACCCTAACATTCATTCATTCGTTCGCGAAGGCGCTAACATGGCATACAAAATAAATCGTTACAGAGAAAGCAGGCGTAAATGCATAACACACAGTGTTAACTTCATTCTTATCTATTGCTTGTTACAATTTTTTGCGTTTATTATTTATACTACTTATTTTTACTGGTAAGTAGTAAGAGTTTATATTTTGTTTATTATATCGTCACTGTGTAACCGTAATTATTGCTTTATTTATTTTATTTTTTTTATTTTTCATTTTTTTTTTACTACAGCTTGATTCCACACCGTATTTTCAGTACAAGTTTGGAATTTTTCAGCATGGATATCGGCAGCCCAAATTTACAGGCCGATCATAGATATCGGGTGTGCGCCGGCAGAGGATCGAGCCCCGGACCATGTGCATGGTCGGCAAGAGTCCTAACCACTGTGCCACCGACGCACATTCATCTCACTTAAGGTATTCCCATTTTATTTGATCTATAGTTGAAAAGTACTTGCTGTACGTGCTTCAATTATGTTCCACTTCCTGTTGAACACTTGTTTATTCTAATCCCTTTATTCTGAACATTCCACCTCAGTTTAAAACTGACTGTGGATGCGTAGTGACAGTGTGTGTGTGTTTGTGTGTTTAATGGCATTCAGCCTTAGACACCTCAAAATTCGAGAACTGTGTTTTAAACAAATTTTTTGTTTGAATTTTACGCGTCATTCAAATGTTTTATTCATTCAAATCAAAAGTTGGATTACAATTTTGGAACCGGATTTCTGAGAAGAAATCTACAGCTACACACTACTGATTGAATCATCTCAGTGGTTAGAAGCCACTCACATCAAACAGTAGTACCTTCTAGTCCCTTCTTGAGTCGAAGGGACCTAAACACTGGACAGCCATCTTCCTTGTTTGGAGCAGAGCCCATCGATGGTGTACTCAGGTATGACTCACTTCAGAGAACTGAATTAGGTTACAGGTATTACCATCAAGTGCTAATGTCAATTAGAGGACCACTGGAAAACCACTCCCCGTGAGTACTGAACAGCCATTCCGTCCTAGTCCAGGACTCTTTAGCAGCACGCACCACTGTTGGGTTTCGAAATCACGTTTGCGAATTCGCAGAATTTGAAGTCCGCGGTGCAGTTGAGCAGGTACCCCTTAGGGGCTGAATGGTCTACAAACTCTCCTTATTAGAGAAAGTTCCTGGTTTCGAATCCTGGCAGGTGCGCACTACAACAACGACGAAACAACAGCTGTCCAGTTTTCCATGCTGGTTTCCAGTGTTTCTCTAACTGATATCAGTTAGTCATCAAAGAGCAAAGATATTGAAGAGTAATGGGTACCCTCAAAGGTTCATCAACAAGTATGGAAGATTTGAAGTCACAAATGTGAAACAAATCACAGTAGTAAAAAAGCCAATCTACTTACAGCTTGATTATAAAGGCGAAAACATTGCAGCCGTGATCAACAGAAGGCTGAGCACATCACTAGCTATAGCCTATCCGGCAGCTAAGCTCGTTCCCATCCATCGAACTACTTGCTCTTTGGTGCAATCAAAAATCGATAGATATCCTTATCATGTTAACTCCAACTGTATATACAAATTTACATGTATCTGCGGGAGCAGTTACATTGGAAGGACAGAAAGAAGGGCTTGTGTCTAAAGAGAACAAATGCTTTGAACAGTGCCATCGCCAGGCATCTTCTTGACACGGGATGTCGAAAAGTCATTCAAAATTATCAATAGGCATAAGAGCTCAATTCTCCTTAAGTTTGCTGAAGCCATTTCCATCAAGCGCCTGAAACCTGATTTATGCGTCCAGAAAGAGTCGGTTATCAGTCTTTCTTTGCCCTGGTAACTGGATATTTTTCATCCGAATGCGAAATGCTGAAAAGTTTCCATTGTGTATGATTACTATTGTTCAGAATAGTGTTTAATATTACATACATATATGTATATATTATTAGTGTACGCGTTCATTGATCGATTGACTTTTGTTTAAAATGAGCTCGCCGTGCAAATATGTTAAAATTGTTTTTGTAGATATATCTAATATAATGAGTTTGCCCTGTAAGCAGCTGACGAGAAGGCAACGAAATAAACAATGATGGTACCACTTTATTCTGCTAAAACTGTAGTTCTTTCTTTGTTCAAATTCATGTATGAAACGTGTAACCAGTCATATCCCAGCAAACCAACGCTTGAATTCATTTAGATTTACAAATAAACGTCAAATACCCTGTAACACACTACACGAAACCCAACATAAGGGCAAGTGATGCTACCGAAACACCTAACTGAAAACTGTTTTCCAAGGTGTTGAGCCCCTCCCTCAAGGCTAGGCACGCATTAAACAGAGTAACTATGAAGACGCTTTCAACTGAAGAACACACTGAATACAAGCAAAGTAATATCACACAAACAAACAAACTATTAAGAGAGAAATAAACAAAACAGGCACCTACATGAAATCCTTGTATCCTTTCAATGCATCGTAGGAGATGTTGTCGTTCACGTCTTAAATGATACAATAAGCTATTGACACCAGATTGACGTAAATGTGGTACCAGAATACAAGTACTCATTGCAGCTGATCTCTCCAGTATATTTTCATCATAAACAATATCATTTGCATTGGTTATTGTCTCATAGTCTAAATCGAAAAATTCTTGAATAAATTTGTACAGGCCACGTTCACTCAGGGTTAAACATTCATGAGCTAAATACATGCAATCATTGTAGTACAGAACTGAAAAGTAAAAGAAGTAGAGTGTGAGAGAAAGTTATCAGTGCTTTCAATGTGATTTTAAAACAAGCAACAAAGCAGGTTAACAAAGCAGGATGATTTAATGAATTCATCAAATTTCGGTAGAACTCGTCAGCTGAATATTCCACATAATGGATAAGATTTTATTTTGATAAATCACACAGTGTTGTACAGTTATATTAACTGATGACCACGTTTCGAGCACAAACTATTGCCACTCATAATCATATCAAGTTTGATTTTGCCTTCTTTTGATTTTTCAGGGTTAATGCACATTGTGCTCGAACCTCTTCTGCTGTTGTCTTATCTATTGAACCAAGTGCTACTTCTATGTTAGGAATGACATCCTCTGGTTTTAATTTATTAACTGTTACATTGAAATTTAGTCCTTTCTCAAGTACTTTTATCTCACTAGAGCTTAGTTCCTTTGATGAGAGGTTGATCATCCACTTTGTTCTGTCGATAGAGGATGAAGCGTTGATATCAATTTTATTTGCTGTGTTCCTTTCTTCAATTAGTTTGTTGAATTTTTTTGATTTGTATGGTTTTTGATTTTCTTAATGCTGATTCTCTAGCTTTTTCGGATGTTTCAACAACAATTACATAATCTTTGTCATTGACCATACATTTGAGTTTCTGTTTGAGTTTTTCGATTTCATTTCGTATATTATCTAGTTTCACAGTAATTCGATGTAGTTCTTCTCTTAGACTTAATCTACTGAGATGTTCAGCTGCTGACGATATTTTTCTTGAAGTAATTGGAGTGCATATGTGTCAATATTTTGGAGTTATATGATTTTTTAAACATCGACTGTTAAAAATCCGATGGTTTGTGAACTTGATATGATTATGAGCAGTAATAGTTTGTGCTCGAAACGTCATCAGTTAATATAACTGTACAATACTGTGTGACAGTTTATCAAAATAAAATCTTATCCATTATGGAGTTATACTCTGCCACAGTGCCCAAGTTTTATACTTATATCGTCAGCTGAATACTCTACATACACGGATATATATACACTTTTGAAATTACATTGGGAGATATAGGACTGATAAGTAAACAAACTACATTGAATTAGTCATGCAGAAAGACAGGTGCGAATGTTTTTCTAGGTCATGTTCAAATAGATACGGGGAGAGGGAGCATGAGAGATGAAAATTAAGATAAATTGCATTACGCTTTAATTACATCACTTAGATAAACAATTAGACATTAGAGAATATAACAAGAATTGCAAACAGAGTAATATCAATCAATAGTAATAGTTATAATAACAATAATAATAATAATAGTGTTGAAGTGAGTTGAGATAATCCTACTGATAAAGGATAGTTTTAAATGAACCAATAATAATAATAAGAGGTAGAATAATAAGTAAAACGTATTACCATGGTAGATTCAGAGTCACGACCATCTCCTTTTGTACAAACAGACAAGGTTTATAAACTCGAATTGCACAAGCCTCTGCAATTGCAAGTATCTTCTTGTTTCTTTGTCAGCTGACAGTAACAGTAAGTGACTTGACAGCGTCAACATCATATCCGTAGTCCACAAGATGTTTTGCTATTGAGGATTTTGGCACTTTGCACTCAGCTGTTTTAAACCATTTTGGCAAATGCTCCATCATGCGAGTAGACAATCGCCTTTCCGTACGACCTATGCGTATTTGCTTCCACAAACACACTCAAATTGATATACGCAGTTTGAAGTGTCGAGGATTGGCGACTGGTCTTTCCCAGATTGTTGAAGCACTCGCTTAGTGGTGTTAAGGAAAACAAGTTTTGCAGCATAATAAGTTCCCCTGATAGCTTTATAGAGTTTTCGGTTGACTATTTCATGTACATCATCTCTTTTGAGTGGTAAATTTATATAGACAGATGTCTTCGGAACTGTTTGGACAGTTTCGCAGGGCTCATTTTTTCACGGCTGGAAAACCCTGTATACATGTACATCCAGAATCCAAACGGATCAGATGGCACCGTATGAATCTATTTTGGTCGCCTATGAACTATAAGAACACAACTCCTGACGCTTCTCCAAGGCTCTGTGGATTAGGCATCCAAATAAAAGGCTCACGGGTGTTCTCGTTATCTTCGTCACTTTTATTGCTAGTCCTAATTCTTCTATGGCACTTCATATATTGTTGAATAAATTCTAATGGGTAGTCAGTGATTAACTAGTAATACTTCCTTTATTTATTTGACTTAACTATTTAAATCTTCTGTATGACTAGTTAGTAAGGCTCTTGGCCCAATTATACAGACATTTAACTAAACCTATCTTTACCGGTTACTGGCATAATCTTGATAAATAGCTTCACTTATCCCACAATGCTTATACCATATTTACTTGCATATAACATTACATAATTCCTAGGAATAACGCCGACAATAACATCAATAGATTTTACAGAAACCAGTGAAACCAGTAAGATATCTTCAACTGGATGAATAATAATAACGCCAGCATTCCCCCAAATCAAAGTGTCAAATATGCCGGAGAAAACTGAGATTGGATCAGATACACACTGGGGAGACGGTTGGTGACACATCGCGTGTCAGGTCCTCAGAGTCAACCCCAAAATGAGACATCACAGAGGGTGTGTGACATGGAGTAGATCGTGTGAGAAAGGAAATGAGGAGAGCTTATACGGGCAAGCAATTATGAGAAGCGGAGAGAGAGGATAGAGTTGAAGCCCTATAATATCCCACTCAGAACCCAAGTGAGTAATAAATATTAACAGTAACAATAACAATTTAGTGCAGACACATAATATCACCACTACTTACCAGCAAAACGTAAATCCGTCTGTGCAACATCTGCATGTAAAGTAGGTATCAGTGAGGTGAATAGCATAAATATCCGGGGAATTAATTTAATTATAAATTCAATAAAGGCTATTGTGTTAGTTTTCTTTGTATTCAAATCCAGCACATTATTTGCTTTCGATTGATTCACTTCATTCACTAAGGCTACAAGGTAGACATTACAATTATTGAGAATGTCATTAACTTGTTTCATCATTAGGAGGACAGTTTCCGACACCTTTGATAGAAGGGAAGAAAAAACAAGAAGGAAAATTTCATACACATTTGGTTCCCTTAATAAATTTCGATATGTCTCTGTCTGGATTTCACATAGAACTTGGCACCGAAGTGCAGCAGTTCGAGTTGCCACGTTCCAAATAGCACACAAAGGTAGACAACAATATGAGTGAAGAGAATCAATAGAGTTTTGACAAGTATAAGAGTGAGTCGAACAGAATGAGTAATGGTAGAAAGGAATATGAAAGGTTAAAGAGACTGAATACATCTGCGTAAGCCATTGACAACGATTTTGAGCCATGTCACCTATTGTCTCCAGCCATTGATTCTTAGACTCTCGAGGGCGGGCCCCAACCCGGAAGTCTGCGTCTTCCTACCTGACTCAGTTTAACTGTCAAGGATTTCATGGATTGATTGATGCGATGTTTTTGTTTGGCCACCACTTACTCTTTTCCAACCTGCAACCATATATATCAGCTAGTAATGCCCGTCGGGGGAGGCGATGGTCAGGCATGGGCAGCCCGTGACCTAGCCATCTCAATCTATGTAACTTTATGGCGTCTTCGATAAATTTCCATAGAGAAAGAAAGACCAGATTTGCAGTATAAAATGTGATAGCATCATTCTATTTCATAGGTTATCATCAGCCAACTGTAGACTATCTGAAATCACAATGGTTACATTTATAGATGATAATAACACAATTCAATGTTTAAGTGGTAGTAGAGAAGAAATAGTATAGAACTGACGCATCCAAAATGTAAACAGCGTTACAATTTTTCAGTTTAAGTTTCCATCATCAATTTATTCGCTTTCAAAGTAGAAAAGATGGGGGAGGGGTAAGACAGAAAACAGAAAAAATCAACAAACAAACAGTGTTAGCTTGTAGGTGGAACAGCGGTTAGGACTCTCGCTGACCATGCACATGGTCCGGGTTTCGAACCCCTGCCGACACACACCTGATGTTATCAATGGTCAACCTGCGAAATTTGGGCTACCGGTATAACACGCTGAAAATTCCATACTTGTACCAAAAAATACGGTGTGGAATCAAGCTATGATCGAAATTTTAAAAAATCGAATCATAGGAACTCAAAAAGCAAAGGCGGTTACAGTTTATAAGATTAATATTTGTTCAGTGAGTTGAGATCACTAACTTAGATGACTCACGAATGTAATCAAAATCGAATTCAGTTAGCAAGGGAGTGAGAGATTAATCATACTCTCTTTCTGTATGCATAAGTCTGGTTGGTTTGAATCGTTTGATTGAGATCACTTCGGCAAATCGTAGTAAATATGCTGCCTTTTGTCTATTTAATATTTTGAAGGGCTTAGAAATCTCTAGATGTCCGGTATCAACAATATGTCTGGTAATTGCACTCTGAGAATATTTGCTTCCTTTCAGGCATAGGTTTCTTGGAATATGTCCAGAAAAACGGATAGAAACCCTTCTTTCCGTATTTCCAACGTACTTGCTGCCGCAGGTGCACGTAAATTCATAAACGCAGTTGGAGGTGACATCAGCAGGTTATTTATCCAGTTTTGATTGGCTTATAGAAGAAGTGATGCTGTATAATGTTATGAGTTTAGCTGCAGGTGGGAAGCTTCTTTTTATTGCACCTTTCATTCTTTTGTCAATCTTTTGTGACACTGCATCTCCTTTGAATTGATGATGATAGCTTAAACTAAAAAAACCGTGACGCTTACATTTTGGATGTGTCAGTTTTATAGTATTTCTTCTCTACTACCATTCAAACATTAAGGTATCTTATTATCACCTATATAACCATTGTAATTTCAGGTAGTCTGCAGTTAACTGATAAGAACCTATGAAATAGAGTGACGATATCCCATTTTATACTGAAAATCTGGTCCTTTTTTTCTCTATCGAAAAGGGAAAATATTACTGACAGTATACTTATGCACGCAGAAACACCTAACAGATTGACTGAGTTTCAGTGTAAATCTTTGCATAGAACTGCGCCAATTCAATTTGCCACAACTCCATGTACCACACAAAGGAATACAAAACACGTACACAGAGAGTGAGAAAGTGACTCAAAAGGACTATAATAAACACAAATGTGAAGAAAGAAGAATACAGAAAAATAAAAACACGACAGTTCAGGGGATGCTGGCTGACTACCCCAGGACCTCCTACCAAATCGGACAACAGGCATCACTAGCAAGAACTCTGGCATATCGAGCCATGGATGCATGCTGTGTTTCGCAGACACGCATACAAGACCCGAGTGTGGTCATTCACTTAACCCAACTCCACCCGGCCAACAAGGTGAATCTGCAAAATCCACTTTAAGGGTGTCAGGAGACTCCTTAGCTAGTTCACGAGGACTTGCAGGTGTAGGGATACCAGTACAACATAGTCGTGTGTGTGCAGTCCGTCTGAACGGGTCCATTAGAAGAAGGAAGGACGGTGTTACCCGTCTCTTCATGGTCTCCACTTATGCCCCAACAGGCTGCAGTTCGGATGAACTAAAGGATGACTTCTACCAGAAACTGTCTAATTTGCTGCAAAAAGCAAAACGTTCAGATATAGTTGTTCTAGCAGGCGACTTTAGGGAAGTTGTGCCAGTGAAAATATTAACAACTGTATAACATTTTTCTATAGTTGGTTTGTAAGAATTAGTTTTGTTTTTACGAGTTGATCACGGATTGATATCAGTTACAAACCAGACTATAGAAAATTAATTTGATGCTCGCTAGCGACTTGCTACAAGACAGAGTTTCCTGGAGTTAGTTCTAGGTGAGAAGTTGTGACCAGTGACGTTCATCCAGTCAAATGTGAGGATGAATGACCACCCACCGATGACATTGGTTAGTGCCAGTCGCGTTAAATTACGAAGTTAGAATTCATGGACTGGCCATTGAGGAGTCGGGTCCCAGCAATGGCTGAAAGGTATACGAGCTTGTCTTGTAACGGGAAGGTCCTGGGGTTTGAACCCCAGTGGGTGCGAACTGCCAATGATTCCCAAACTAGGATGGAACAGTTGGCTGTCCAGTACTCCAGTGCTGGCTTTCAATGGTTCTCTAACTGACGTTGTCAATCCATAATCAACTCGTAAAAACAAAACTATATAACAATAAAAAATAAGGCCTATTACTTAGAATTCCACAATAAGATGGTAATGTCCTGTCTTACACTTTTCTCATCTTAAAAAATATGTGCCAAATAATGTGACGCAGAGTTTTTGTACTTAGTCGTCTGAGCATATAGTCTTCTATAGTTGCTTTTAGTTCTACATACCTAATGAAATGCGAGGGGAGGATTGTGTAATGGAGAGGATGCTTAAGGTCTGACAATTTCTTGAAGGGATCCGCGTGTCTATCTACAATAGTATTAATGAGCTGGTTCAGTGACAACCCACTCGGTGTCTGTAAGTATGGTATGTCCTTTGCACCGTCTAAATGCAAAGTACTGTTAAGAGATTGGCAGGAGCCTGTACCTGCACCCACTCTTGCGGGTGAATCGCTTGAAGTTGTCAATAAGTTTGTGTATCTGGGTAGTTGTGTGAGTGCTGGCGGAGGGGTGACGGATGAGATTCCCAATCGTATAATGATGGTTAGGGTGGCATACATCAACTTGAGCCACCTCCGGTACCGTTGCGACGTTAGCCTGGCTTTCAAAACCCGATATACAATGCTTCGGTGCGGGCTGTCTTGCTCTACGCCTGTGAAACCTAGCCTCTCCGAGCTGAGGATGTGAGGCGACTCTGCGTGTTCGATCATCGCTGTCTCCACAGAATTGCTCGCGTTCGATCATAGAATCATAAGAACTAACCAGTTCACGTAATTCATGCTTGTGCCAGAAAATGAAATTACCCTCCCCCCGACTGACATTTGGAGGGATTTAACCGCCAAATGCAAGATGATGTTACAGGAGTGGAATACACCGACTCCTAGATTAGAAATAGGAAGTGAAGTGGTAGAGCACGTTGACCGCTTCACTTATTTGGGAAGTTGCATTAGCCCCAACGGGTTGATCTCTCACAAAATCTCTGCACGGATACAGAGGCCTAGTTTCGCATATGCCAGTTGATGCTGTCTCTGGAGTAGACGTGATACCCGACTATCGACCAAAGGGCATGTGTACTGGTCAGAAGTCCACTCCGTCCTCCTTTATGGCTGTCAGACCTGGCCATTGAGAGTGGAAGACATGAAAAGGCTGACTAACTGTCTTTGATCATTGGTATCTGCGTTCTATCCCCCGTGTGAAGTGGTATAATAAGGTGAGCAATATTGAGGTTAGGCGTCGAGTGCTAGGTAAGGAGGGGAAATCAATCGACGAGGCTATGAAATTACATCAACTGAGATGGTTAGAACATGTGCTACACATGCCTAGCCATCGCCTTCCACGACGGGCAATGTTAGCTGATATAGGGTTGGTCAGGCTGGAAAAGAGCTAGCGGCGGTCAAACGAAAACATGGCACCAGTCAATGAAATCTACAATAGTCAGTCTAGGCCACGTAGGAAGGTGTAGACTTCCTGACTGGTTGGGGTCCTCGGGACGGTAAAAACCAATGGTTGTAAACAATTGGTGGCATGGCTCAAACTCATCGTTCTCAATGGCTGGTGCAGATGCATCCACTCCTGGTGACTTATGATTTCCAATGAAACTGTTTTGTTCTTCGTTATTACTATTCCTTTGTCTCACACCTCTGTTTACTGTCTCTAATATGCATTTCTCCTGCTTTCTTCTCTTGCTTTGTGTGCTACATGTGGGGAGTGTGGCGACTTGAACTGTTGCACATATGTGCAAAGTTCTATGTCGAAAACAGACAGGCAGACAGACGGCAAGCTTGTTTAACAAAAAGATGGCCTCAGTACAGGCACAGAGTCAAAAGCCGTCATATACATAACCAATTAATATTGCAAAATGAAACACTTACCATACAATCAGGAAAATCAAATTGTCCAAGATCTAAATGTCGCGAGATATCACGTAGATTACACTTGGATTTCAGTAGTCTAGAGACAATATCATTATTATTATTATTATCACCAGCATCACTATCATCACTGAGAATGAATTCTTCCTCTTCAAAGATACCTTCATCATCATCATCGTCAGCAGCATTAATATGATCGGTATCTGCAGGATTCGCCTCCTCCTCGTCCTCCTCCTCCCTCTTCTTCTCACATTTTACGCTTTCATTCGCTGGACGACACATTGAATAGAAGCGTTCACGATCAGCCAGTAATTGACGCAGTTGTTCGACCATATAGCTTGCTTTACGTTTATGCTTCAACAAGGAGAGATTGTTAAGCCAAACACTTAATTTTGTCTCTCCACTATTAGAACTTGACACTTGCTGTTGTTGTTGTTGGTGGTGTTGAGTACTATTCAATGAAAGTTGTTTCTCTGTTGACAGAAATCCCGTGCTTATTCCAACATGAATCAATTGTATCACAGAGTCGGTAATTGATGCTGACATTGACTCAAAATTAATCGATTTGTTATCATCATCATCATGATGATCTGTGAAGAATACATCAGCATTGAAACGTCCATTGATCAATTCATTGACCAATTCATGACTGAATAAACAACCTGACTGACTGTTTTCGATATCATTATCGATGGTGGTGGTGTTGTTGTTGTTGATTAGCAGGTCAATGACACGTTTAGCTGTATCATCTGTATTCCCATCACCATCATGAATATCAGCGTTGACATCGAGGACTCCTCCTCTACCGACATTTTCCTTTCTATTATTAGTATTATTGGATAGTTGAATAAATTTCAGACCGAAGAAATACTTATATAAATCGTTAAATGCATTAGACAATTGTTTACATGAACTGTTGATCAACTTCTTAGCAGCGGCTTCTTCTTCGTCTTTGTCTTTGCCTTCGCTTCGTCTTCCTTCTACACCTCCTCGTCCTCCTTCTCCACTGCCTCTGCGTGTTTTAATATCAGTACTCTTACGACTAGAACGACTATTATGACTGTCATTATTGACTCCTTCTGCACTCCTTTCATTACTAATATTAGTAGTAGTAGTGGTACTCATATTTGGTGCTATTAACAGTAGATTGAAGTAGCATAAGACACCACGATTATCATCGTCATTAGCCGCAGCAGTAGAAGTCGTTTTCTTACGATTATTACTACTACTAGCAGTACTATTCACTGATACGTCGATATCTAATTTATCATGGAGCGATTCATTAATCAATTGGCACTACAAACACAAAAACAAAACAAGAAAAAAGAAAGGAGAAAATGAGGAGAGAAAATAATTACTGCGAGTATATAATATGTCATTCAATATTGTGTGAAATCATATTAATATATATACATATATATATATATATGTGTAAAACTTGGGCACTACTGTGGTAGTAAGTAATTTCATATTAGTTACAGGATTTCATCATGAGCTGATATTGGTTAGAGAACCATTGGTAAACCTGCAGGGAGTACTGGACAGCTGTTTCGTCCTAGTTTGGGACGAAATCCCCACAAACCAATACTTGAATATCAATGAGACGCTCACTGGCAACGGGCCCTATTCAGGTAGGTAGTTACCTGAAGTTCCAGTGGGAAGTCGTGACCAGTAGGGTGCAGCCGGTCGGGTGGGAGGACAAATACTCGCTGAATACATTGGCTAGCGGTTGCGCTATATCGTGAATTGGCAGAAGTTGGAATTCATGGGCCATTGGATCGGGTCCCAATGGCTTAATGGTCTACTAGCTCGCTAGCCTAGTAACCGGAAGGTCCTGGGTTCGAACCCCGGTGGATGCGTACCGATGAAGAGTCCCAAACTACGACGAAACTGCTGCCCAGTACTCCCTGCAGGTTTACCAATGGTTCTCTAACTGATGTCAGCTCATGATGAAATCCTGTAACCAATCAAGCGAATTCCTACAAACCAATACTTGAATTCCAAATTAGTTTCTTTATTAGATGCATCACACAGTCAGTGAAACAGTATTATTTACTGGGATGACAAAGTTTCGAACAAAATTTATTACTGTTTATAATCATTTCATCAATTGTAATCACACGACTTCGAAACTTGAGTGTGATAGTTTTCATTGTTCTCTCCTATTTATTGTCATAGGTAGGGGTAGTAGAATTTTCCAGATGTCCGAGTGAGTGGACAGGTGTTGAGTCATTCATTCCTATTACACGTATTCCCTATCAGTTGATTCGATAAACAAAGATTTCGGTATTAATCGTGCTCCCTCCACTCCTGGTGAAATGTTTAAGTAATAGGACACAAGAACTAAGTATTAACAAGGAAAATCTAAAACGGGAAGTGAGGTATATAAGAGAAGCTTTGAAACTTAACTAATAATACACTGATAAATTAATCAGGAAGCATGTAGAAAAATGAAAAAATAAAATAAATAATAACGGTAGTGATAGCGATAATAATCATAATCATAATAATACTAGTGACGACATGCATGCCAAACAGGCACAGGATAATGATAACACCAACAATAGGGAATATAAATCATCCGTCACCAGCACATTGGCATTTAACTGTGTCCTCTGAAGTCCTAGTTAACTGGCTCCACAATTGTCCATAAGCTCTCATCTCCTTCATGTCAACCTCGGACGACGCCGCTGCCTGGTGCACGATTTCACTCAACAGTCCTTTCTGTATGTCTCTGATTCATTTCCAGTTCCTACTGCATATTTATTGGGTGATAATCTGTCGGCTGGTTCGTTCCTAGAGTTCTTTGTCGCTTTCTTTCTTTCTTTCAGACCATCTACTCTTCAGTACAGAGCGAAGGCAGCTGTTAGAAGTGCTTTTCGTGACGCTCCAAGTTTCTGACCCATTTGGAAGAACTGACTGATTAAACATTGGTGGTGAAAATAAGCCTTTCGTTCTTTATGCTGATTGGAGGAGATTTCCAAATTGATTTTAGATTGATGAAGATCTATCTTGCCTTTTTGATCCTGACTTTCACACATCCTCATCTATACCGCATACTTGTAGTTGAAACAAGACTAGCTGGATAAAGTGAATTGGGTGACCTCTGATATGTAGTCAAATGATGATGTCTACTTTGTTTGGACAGTCTGGTATATTTTTTATTATGTGTATATTGATCGAATCCAAAGGTGATAAGAAAAACTACCCTCTGTTTTATTGGTTAGTCATTTTCATACATACTTTTACATTGTACAGTTAACCCACACACTTTCACACATTTTTCGTACTTTCCCACTCACACTCTTGTGCGACAGTTAATTTTCCTTGTTGGAAAATACACGTATCTATTTGTGAACGTCTTTATAGATTTTGAGAAGGCCTTCGACAGCGTTGACCGCGAAGTAATTCGGAAACTACTCGAGTACTACGGCGTACACGAAATATTCATCAACCTTATTCAACAGCTGTACGACAACGGCACATGTCAAGTGAGGCGTTTGGAGTAAACACAGGAGTCAGACAAGGGTGCTTATTATCACCAATGATATTCCTAATTGTGGTGGACTGGATTATGCGTCAGACAGTGGGAAACGAGAAGACAGGGATATCCTAGACCGACGTGAAGAACCTAGAAGACCTGGATTTCGTGCGTGGATGATTTTTGTTTGATGTCACACAAAATCGAAGACTTACAAGCGAAAAACAACCGACAAACTGGTGGAAGAAGCAGAAAAGACAGGACTCCAGGTGAACATAGACAAGACGGAGGTTATGAAAATAACCAACCAACGACAACAACAGCAGCAGCAACATCCAGCACCAATCACCATCAACGGGAGAGATTTCAAAAAGGTTACTTCATTCACTTATCTAGGGAGCATTGTCTTAACTACAGGAGGAACGGACGAGGATATCAAATCGAGAATCGGGAAGGCGAGAAACACATTCATCAACCTCAAACCAATCTGGAAATCTTCATCACTCAGCATCAACAACAAAATTCGGATTTTCAATACAAACGTCAAGTGAATTCTTCTTTACGGATCAGAAACTTGGCGGGTCACAAAGAATATTTCCAACAGCCTGTTGCAGACATTTATCAACAGCTGTCTTCGTTCTATACTCAAGATCAGATGGCCGGAAAGAACAAGAACCAACAAGAAACTATGGGAAGAAACAAAACAAGAACCAATCGCCCAACAAATTTGCAGGAGAAAGTGGAGATGGATTGGACACTCGCTGAGGAGGCCACTGGGTGACATTGCGTGTCAGGCCATCGCTCGAGTGGAACCCGAAAGGGAAGCGGCGAGTGGGACGTCAGTGCAAGGGTAACATGGAGGAGATCGTGTGAAGAAGAGTTGAAACAATATGGACTAACATGGATGCAGGTGAAAAGTACAGCAGAAGACAGAAACAAGTGGAGACGTGTAGTTGAAGCCTTATGTTCCACTAGGAATCCAAGGGAACAATAATAATAAAATAATTGGTGAACGTGGTGGTCTTCTGATTTGCCTCTTCACATCAGGACAAACTGACTACTCAGCAGTACCAGTCTGTACGTTATCGTCCGTTATATCTCATTAGCGTATATTTACACTCGGTCACACCATAATATCGGCAACGAACCCATAACATATTGGCGACGAATTTCTCCCGTTGATAGTCATTGGTGCTTGCTGTCGGTTAAGTATTTCCACCATATCTGTCTTGAAATCCTTCCACTCTACGCTACCAGCTCTTCCACAAACTTGTTGGTTTTCAACTGTTAGTCCTCGAGTTTATGTCACATTAGACCACAGTCTGTTGTGTGATCCAGTCCACCACAGTTAGGAATATTATCGGTGATAGTAGGCGGGCAGCCTTATCCTATTTCTGTCTTCACTTCGAAGTCTTCGTTGAATTTTCCATTGTGTCGAGCTTCAGAAGAAGGATATCATTTCCTTCACGGTTGTGGATACACGCCGATTACCTCTCTTACCACTTTACATAAATTCCACTTGCGTACATATACTACTGATTGATTGATTTAAGTAGTTAGTTAGCCAGTCAATCCGAATAGAAGTGATCTAAACACCGTACCCCCCCCCCCGAACCCACCCGCCGTTTCGCCCATTTATAGCCTAACTTATCTTATCAACGGTACACACACACACAGAGTTCGATTCAGTTCACACAACCGCCGAATCAGTGGTATACAACACAACACAACTTATCTTTGTCGACCAGTAGGTGGCATTCATTGATGCTTGCTTGCTTGCCTACTTGATTAATGGGGTAATAAAAGCAGATCACATGTGCACAGAGTGAGTGATTTGAGTGTGTAATTACTAATAGAGCAAACAGAAACAAACTAACCTTTAACTCTGGCCAACCCATTTCTGAACCGGATACACATGGGACTTTTTTAAGCCAAGGTTTAAAGATATACGTCCAAATTTGATTGAACAATTCATAAATACGAGTCTGTGTGTAATTACAAAGAGGAAGAAAGAAAGAAAAAAATGAATGTTAGGGGAAACAATAAATAGTTCAAGCTACACATTCTCTCTTGGTGTTAGCAGTGCCTTCTTCTTCAAATTAGGTATCCCTTCCTTGAAGCATACTGAAATCGTGATGAGAGCTGGCTGCCAACAAGCCAAAAATTGTAGACAACAATTTGCGTAAATGTCCACGTCCCGAATCGGGGTCATGAGAAAAAAGATAATAACAAAGCTTAACCTTGAGGAACTCACCACCAACCAATCAAACAGCAGACTTAACGTGTGCAAATACGATTCGCAAATATATATATATGGCTTAACTTTCTGAGAAACGGTCGGTCACAAGCAGTACAGAATAACCCTCAGCAAGAAAACAACCAATCAGAAGAGACGTTGCTTCTCCGCTGACAATAATGTACATAAAGATCTATAAAAATATCTCTTGATTTTCTCAATAAACAATCTGTTGCTGAGGCTTTGTCTTCTGTCGTTACAAAATATTCGCTCCCACCGCCAGGTATCCTACAGCCTTACCATGGCGTAAACCTGGCTCTTTCCCCTCCTAGGAACCTTACTAAGACAATGTTGAGCTCGTCGAGTTCTACAAATTGATAGTTGGCTTGTCATATAACTCTCACTTTTTTCTATTTTTCCACCTGCTTTTTATCTTGCTGAATCTCCCCCTTGGAGCAGGCTTCGGCCTATGGATGAACTTTCCAAAGTTCCCTAACTTCGAGTAGGAACGTCCCTTTTGGCTCTTCCCTATGCCATTCGAGTGCATTTCGGATGGTCTTTCTCCTGGTATTAGTACCTGTGTGTGTGTGTGCACAGTCTGAACATTGCCGTTCCGCTTTTCACCTCCGATGTACACACACACACCAGCATCAGTGGCACTATGATTACTCGAGATTTTCAGCACCAACACTAGCCAACGTCATTTGGGGAATACTTGTTCACAAAACAAGATCAGGTGGACTCTGGCGGTCACAACTACCTGCTAAAACATCAGACAACTTTGTCCTGTGGTCAGTCAGTCAGTCATTAGTACACATCGAATGTTAGTTTGTAGGGATTTGATTGCTCTCAACTTCGATCACTGATTGACATCAGTTACAGAACCATTAAAAACGAGTACTGGAGTACTTGACATCTGTTTCGTCCTAGTTTGGGACTCTTCAACAGTGCGCATCCATGGTCCCATAGCTATGGAGATCGAATCCAGAACTATCAGGTTACAAAACGAGCTCGTTAACCATTCACAGTCACTGGCACGGAATCCAATGGTCCATCAATTCTTGACTTCTATCAATTCAGAATTTTAACGTCACTGACAGTCACACCAAATCTGCTTGACTCTAATAGTCATGACTGCCTATAGTGTCCCCTACTAACTGATATCAGTGAAATCAAATGTCTGTAGCTTACCGTCTAGTCGGCCATTGGTCTGCAGAAGCCTTAAAGATAAGATTTCGTATCTGACCATTTCTATGTGCATATATTAGTTCATCTGTTGCTGTGATGTCAGATGTATTGGTCGTTCGAAGCGAATCCTATCTAAGAAGGTTCAAGAACACTACCTTACCACATGGTTGCAGAAAAATAGTAGTAGCGGTTCTATAAGGAGTGCGATAATCGGAAACCTTGTGTCAACAATAGGTCAGACAAGGCTTCAACCTCAAAGATAATTTGAACATGGGGATATGATCTCATTGGAACTTGTCAACTGCTGAGAATTTGAAATAATGCCGAAAGATATTCACATATGTTTAATTAAGTGATCTGTACAAGAAGACATGCGATTCGCACCCTTGGTCAAACGTGAAATGATGATGCTACAGGACTGGACTACATCGACTCACTCCTAGCTTAGAGACAAGCGGGGTGAAGTAGTGCCTGAGAGTGTTGACCATATACTTCACTTGTTTGGGAAGTGGCAGCAGCCAGCTCCAACTGGTTGATCGATGATGAAATCCCACCATGGATACAAAAACTTAGTTTGGTACGTGCCAACTCACGCCATCTCTGGCGTAGACGCGATATTCGGCCGACCATTGATCAGCACTTCGCTACACCTCCTTTATGGCTGTAAGTGAGACGCGATGGCCACTCGAAGTGAAACACATGAAAAGCCTGTCTAGTTAGCTGTCCTTGATCATAGGTGTCTGCGTCCCATCTCCTGTGTTAAGTGCTGGCATAGTATAATAGGGTGAGTAATTATGAGTTGGCCAGGCGTCGAGTTGTAGATAAGCAGAAATTAATCGACGAGGTTGTGAAGTTACATCGATTGAGATGGATAGAACACGTGTATCTCATGCATTCCTTCCTCGACGACAGGCAATTTTAACTGACACAGGATCAATGAGGTTGTTGGAAAAGACCTAGTGGTTGATGGTCAAACCAAAACTTGGCAGCATCAGTCAGTGAAATCCATAACAGTTGTTTTAAGCTAACCAACCAGCCAGCCAGCCAGCCACGTAGGGAGGTGTAGACTTCGTAACTGGTTGGTTGGGGTCCTAGGGATGGTGAGAACCAATGAAGTTGAAGTAAATTGATGGATGGTGACTGACTAGTAACACAATTCACCAGGATGCGCATTTCGTCCTATTTGGGACTCGTCAGTCAGTGGATGTACCCTCATTCTTCAGTGAGTAGTGGATAGTGTTCCCACCGAAGATCGAACCCAGTACCTGTAGTTTCAAGCACTAAAGTGTTGTCCACTAGAGCCACTTCTTGTGCGACAAGTATCAGTAGTTATCCACTTCAATTTGGACTTTCCAAATGATTGATTGATTGGACTGAAGTGCTCAGTATCAGGTTGACATGTATGATACCATGACGTATACCTGTCTTCTCACCCCCCCCCACAGTTTGCTGCTAAATGATCCAGTCGACCATAATATCAGCAATATGATCAGTGATAGTAGGCAGTCTTATCTTCATTCCCAAGAGTCCGCTAAGCTTTAAGTTGTAATTCCCTTAGCATCTGGCATCATTATCATCATATCGCTAATGAATGAGGTTTATAAATGCTTAGGGTAATCCGTAGTATTCATGTAGGCTCAAAATTACTTTAACGTTGACGCTATTAAAGGCCTTTTCAAAGTCGATGAAGTTGAGGCCCTGTTCGATGAAGGTACATAGCGTTACAATTTGTTGAATATTCATGAACTTTTTTTCTGAATCCAACTTGTTTCGAAAGAACTGAGTTTTCCATCTAGCGCACCTTTACTCTCTCTCTCTCTCTCCCTCTCCAAGATGATGCGAATTGACATGATTCCGTGCTACCTTTTTGCAAAGATTCAAGTTTTAATCTCTCTTCTAATCACAAGAGGTGATCTTCCTTCCAAACTTTTCGCAATACTGTCATGAACATATCCGCCAAGGTTAATTATATACCCCTAATTAACAGTCAAACAGAATTTAATTGGTGGATGGTGACTAGCAGTGGAATACAGGATGCGCACTTCGTCCTATTTGGGACTCGTCAGCCAGTGGATGTACCTGCATTCCCCCAGTGGGTGATGACGTTCCCCGCACCGAAGCTCTAACCCAGTGTCCATAGTTTCAAACTCCTAAGAATTATCCACTGGACCACTTAGGTCACGAGAGCCACCTTTCATGCAAAGGTTCATATTAATTATTTAATTGAATTTTTCTAGATTTTCCCGTCGATTGATTGGACCGAAGTGATCGGTGTCAGATTGACATGTCGGCGTCTCTTTGTGCAGATGCTTCGACGATTTCTGGGCATTTAATTAGTATTTAATTGGTGGATGGTGACTAGCAGTGGAATCCAGGATGCGCATTTCGTCCTATTTGGGACTCGTCATCTGGATGTATGACCCGTTACACAAGAGGTGGCTCTCATGGCTCAAGTGGTCTAGTAGATAACGCTTTGGCGTTTTAAACTATGGGTACTGGGTTTGACCTTCAGTGGGAATACTACCCACTACTCACTGAAGAATGGGGGTACATCCACTGCTGACGAGTCCCAAATAGGACGAAATGCTTGTCCTGGTGAATTTCGTTGCTAATCACCATCCATCAGTTCAATTCAGCTCACATAATCAAATAACATTGAAGCCTATGCATAAGGAGCCGACAATTCAACCTGAAACCGAGCACTTCGGTCCAACCAATCGACGGGAAAATCTAAATAAATTCAATAAGATAAATAACAGTTAAACAGTTAGACGACAGCTAAATTACATAACCAACCAACCAACCAGTCAACCAACGAATCAAAGAAAAAAATCCAAAAAGACAGAAATTGTTTAGAACAACACATTTAAGCGAACAATATTGTTTTCAATTAGATCTCATCAAATAAAAATTCATAAACAAATACATGAAAACATTGGAGAGAAAACCTGAGATTATGACTGCACGTAAAAAACCTCTATTTATTAAGTTGCAATTTAACGGTCACTTCTCAAGTGAGTTTTTATTCCAAAGAATTTCAAGGAGTATACGAAGAAAATTTTATGCAGCACACCTATGTTTGTCATTCTCTAGCCGACGAATGATTGGGACGCAAACGAAGGGATAAGCTTGATAGTTTTGCCACATCTATGTGAATTTATCAATTCAACTGCACCTGTGGTGACAGTTATGCTGGGCGTACGACGTAATGGACAGCTTAGCCAACGTGTTAGTGAAAATTTCCCATCGTGGTGTTTTGGCAAAGGACAGACAAAAACAATCTGTTGCTCAATTTTGTCACATTTAGTTGATAGTGGTCATGTAGTGGAGAAAACGAGAGCTTTCAAAGTAATTCATCGCATCCCACCGAATCTTTCCAATAGACTTCGGATTCGTCTACTGCACGCACACAGCTAAGGTGATAGGCATTCGAACTATTAAGTCTAAATTACGCATTCAAAAGAAGTTCGTACAGCCATTATCCCTCCCTTGCTAGCCTATTAAGACATAACCAACTAATGATTTCTACACCACCCTTTGTTTATATTTTCAACCGCTTTCTTATCATCCCTTAATCTTATCTTCATTATAAACGTGTTTCATTTCCTTCCCTTACAATCTAACATTACTTAATCGGTTCATTTGTTTTTACTAGCCTTTATCAACTGCTTCCACCTGAACAGTTGTTTGTTTAATCATGCTGTTTTTCACTATTCGTGTTATCACAGATTGCCTCACTTTTTCATCCTTATTATTGATAAAACCATTTTTCTTATTACTATTATTATGTTTCTTTCCAAGCAAAATACTAAGCCGCATCATCCTGGAGAGAATCAAACATGCCCTGGATGAAAAACTTCGTCCGGAACAGGCTGGATTCAGGAGAAACAAGTCATGCATTGATCAGATCGCCACATTACGGATCATCATTGAACAAAGCTTGGAATGGCAATCACCTCTCTATCTCAACTTCATCGACTTTGAAAAGACTTTCGACAGCGTCTATCGAGAGGTGATTTGGCAACTATTCGCTACTATGGGATGCCACCGACAATTATACATCTCATCCAACAGCTATACGACAATGCTGCATGCCAAGTAATCCACAACGGGAAACTTACGGAATCCTTCGAAGTGAGGACAGGAGTAAGACAAGGCTGCCTACTACCGCCAATGATTTTCCTGATTGCAATAGATTGGATAATGCGACAAACAGCGGGCAATCAGGAAACAAGCATAAAATGGACACACACAAAAAACTTGGAGGATCTGAACTTCGCCAATGATATATGTTTGATTTCCCACAAACTGGAAGACATACAAGTGAAAGGCAACAAGTTGGCAGAGGAATGATCCAAAGAAGATAGGCCATCAGGTGAACATAGAGAAAACAGAGGTGATGAAGATTCCTGGGCAACACCACCAACAGCAACAACAACAGACAACAATCAACATAAATGGGAGGAACCTCAAAGAAACAACCTCCTTTACCTACCTGGGAAGCATCGTTTCAAATACAGGCGGAACTGACGAGGATATCAAAGCGAGAATCGGAAAAGCAAGACAAGCTTTCACTACTCTCAGGTCTGTGTGGAGGTCAACAGCACTCAGCATCAAAAATAAGATCCGGATTTTCAACTCCAATGTGAAGTCAGTCAGTTCTACTATACGGATCAGAGACTTGGTGCGTCATAAAGACCATCTCAAACAAACTACAGACCTTCATCAACAGCTGTTTTCACTCAATGCTTTGCTCAAGATCAGATGGCCGTCCAGAAAAGATCAGCAACAGGGATCTCTGGCAATGAACGAACCAACCAGGAACCAATTGTACAACAAATATGAAGGAAGAAATGGAGGTGGATTGGCCATAATCTGAGGAAACCATCAAGTGACATCACTAGACAAGCCATTGCTCGAGTAGAACCCGAAAGGGAAGCGGCGAGTTGGTCGTCAGTGCAAATGTGACTCGGAGGAGGTCATGTGAAGAGGAGATGAAAACGTGTGGGCATACTTGGAGCCAGATGAAGACTCTAGCAGAGAACCGAACGCAATGGAGACGTACGGCTGAAGCCCTATGTTCCTCTAGGAATTCAAGGAAACTATTATTATTATTATCATTATCACTATTATGACTAATTGCACAATTTATATTCACCATCGTATTATCCTATAGACAAAACACCATGATTGGTTTATATTTGAATTTTTATTTGTAAACTTATGTAGGTATATTAGAGTTAAGCCTGATGATGAGATCTAATTGAAACTAAAATATTGTTCGCTTAAGCAGGTGCTGTTCTAAATTTTACAATGGGAATATTTTATATATATAGAAATTGTTAGTTAACTAACCTTAGACTCTTTTAAAGCTTCAATAATTCTCAACAACTGACATATTAATCCAGGCTTGGCCAATATTTTAAGACTAGCCAAAACAGAAGATTTTCCGCATAACGGACTAGTCGCCGGTACATCATCATCATCATTATCCGACGACAGACGATAAAAAATTGAATCGAATAGGGAATTTGGATTATTCAGTGCTTTTTCCATTTGATCTACTGACGGTAGACAAGCGTTGAATGAAAAACTGAAAAAATCATTCGATTCCACCTGTTCATGAATTGATGATGGATAGGGGATATTGATATTAGAAAATGGTGTCACATCTTTTTGTTTCGACGGCAACTCTAGAATAATCCATCGACACCATAACTCATCGACAAACTGAGCAAGACGATCCTTAAGGAAAAGAAAAAGGCAAAATAGAAAATTTTAGAAAAAAAACAGCAGGTCGAGTGTAAGGACAAATACTCGTCGATTGGAAGAAGTTGGAATTCATCAGCTGGTCACTGGATCGGGTTGCAGTGGTTTAATGGTCTGCAATTTCGCTAGCCTTGTAACCAGAAGGGTTCTGGGAGCGTACTGTGAAGATTCTCGGACGAGGGAGAAACAACTGGCTATCCAGTATTCTTGACTAGTTTTCCAATGGTTCTCTAACCGATATCAACTCACGATGAAGTCCTCTAAACAATCAAACCAACAATTAAACTAAAATAGTTCAATAATGACCGACAAGTCTTCTACAACGTACCTTATATCACCCATCACCTACTTTTCAAGAGGATTGAAAAGGGCAACACTCACAGCCTTACTTCTACTTCCGGCGTTTCTTTTGTCTTACTAACACAGAATGCAATCATTGCTTTTTTCTAAAGAGATTTCTAGATATACTAATGATTATTTATAAGTAGTACATATCACTAATAATAATAATGTATTATTATTATTGTTCCCTTGGGTTCCTAGTGGAACATAGGGCTTCAACTGCACGCCTCCACTTGTTTCTGTCTTCTGCTGCACTTTTCACCTGCATCCATGTTAATTCATACTGTTTCACACGATCTCCTCCATGTCACCCTTGGACGTCCCACTCACCGCTTCCCTTTCGAGTTCCACTCGAGCGATGGCCTGACGTGCGATGTTACCCAACGGCCTCCTCAGCGAGTGAGTGTCCAATCCATCTCCACTTTCTCCTGCATATTTGCTGTTGGGCGATTGGTTCTTGTTTTGTTTGTTCTCATAGTTTCTTGTTGGTAATTCTTTCTGGCCATCTGATCTTGAGTATAGAACGAAGACAGTTGTTGATAAAGGTCTGCAACAGGCTGTTGGAAATATTCTTTGTGACCCGCCAAGTTTCTTATCCGCACGTATAGAAGAACTGACTGACTTGACGTTTGTATTGAAAATCCGAATTTTGTTGTTGATGCAGGCTGAGTGACGAAGATTTCCAGATTGGTTTCAGGTTGATGAATGTGTTTCTCGCCTTCCCGATTCTCGATTTGATATCCTCGTCCGTTCCTCCTGTGGTTGAGACAATGCTCCCTAGATAAGTGAATGAAGTAACCTCTTTCAAATCCCTTCCGCTGATGGTGATTGGCGTTGGATGTTGCTGTTGTTGTTGTTGGTTGGTTATTTTCATAACCTCCGTCATGTCTATGTTCACCTGGAGTCCTGTCTTCTCTGGCTGCTTCTTCGGCCAGTTTGTCGGTTTCCGCTTGTAAGTCTTCTATTTTGTGTGACATCAAACATAAATCATCCACGCGCGAAATCCAGGTCTTCTAGGCTCTTCATGTCAGTTCAGGATATCCCTGTCTTCTCGTTTCCCTTTATCTGACGCATAATCCAGTCCACCACAATTAGGAATATCATTGGTGATAATAAGCGCCCTTGTCTGACTCCTGTGTTTACTCCAAACGCCTCACTGAGTTTTCCGGTGTGGATCACCTGACATGTGCTGTTGTCGTACAGTTGTTGAATAAGGTTGGTGAATATTTCGTGTATGCCGTAGTACTTGAGTAGTTTCCAAATTACTTTGCGGTCAACGCTGACTGTCGAAGGCCTTCTCAAAGTCTATAAAGTTGAGGTAGACGTTTGATAATAATAATAATAATAGTTATACACAAAGAAAGGAACAAATCGTACCTTGCATCGTATAAGTGCATGCAGCATACTTTGAAATACCAATGCAGCGTCCTTATTAAACTTTGTTTGTTCAGCGAATAAATGTTCAGCCAATTCAAGATAATAAACTACATCATCGACGCATGAACTAAGCATTAGAAAAAAAGAAAAAAAGACGAAATTGGGTGAAAATTTTAGCCGACATTTTCCTTGCGAAACTAGAAAATAATGGGCCTTTAAAAAGATGTTATTGATGAACTTGAATTCTATTGTCGGTACGTGTAAATGATACATTTTTGATTATGAAGAACGAGAAGGAAGCAAAGAACATCCTGGGTAAATTTAATCAGGTCCATTCTGCAATAAATTTTACTATTGAGAAAGAAGACTCTAGTATTTCTTCATTGCTAGACGTCCTTATGACTAGAAAAGAGGATGGCACAATAAGAAGTGCATATAGAAAACCTACATCAACTGACTGTTAGCATACTCATTTCTGCAGCTTCGTGCCCTTGAAATACGAACGCAATCTGATAAAGTGCTTGGTCCAACACAGAGCAAGAGCAATTTGCTCGGATGAATGTCTTGATGGGGAACTTAATAATACTAAACGGTTGCTGAATGAAATTGGTTATCCAGGAAAGTTTATTGATAAGAATATGAATCTAAAATCAAAGCAGCCCAAGGTACAAACAGTTCCAAAAAAGGCCTTATTCTTACAAACGCAGTTCCTTGGGGAAAACATCAGCGAGATACTAACACAACGCCTCAGAAATGCTGTAAAAAGAGCATTCCCTGCTGCCGAATTACGCTGTGTCTTCAAAGCCACTCCTCTTTTGTGTTCGGGAGTAAAAGACAAACTGCCTAATTTCGCCTCTTCAATGTGTATCTGCCAATTTGACTGCTCCTGTGGAGCCAGTTACAAAGGCCGAAGAATTAGGCGTGTTTCTCGTCGAATTTCTGAACATCACCCTGCATGGTGGTTAAGTAAAGGACAAACAAAATCTATTCACAACGCTATTCTATCTCATCTTGTGGATACAGAACGCAAGATTGATGTTAACTAGGCAGCTTTCAAAGTCATCTGCCGCATATCAACAAATCTTAACTTCGCCTTAAGAGTTCGTCTACTAAATATTGCTGAGGCCATCGGGATCCACATCAAGAAGCCTAATTTATGCATCCAAAAGAAGCTAGTTCAAACATTGTCCTTACCTTGACCATCTAGGTTTCAATGATCCTCAATTTTTGTGGAATTTTCCTAATTTTAGTTGATATTCTATTTACCACTATTTCTTTATTATTATTATAAATTTAAGCATCTTTGTGATCTTACTTTACAAATCGATATTATTTAGACAAAAAACATCAATATTGTTATTGGCTACTATTCTACAATATTCTATGTATATAAACATATGTATAAATAATTGTAAAGACAGAAGAGGAAATTATCGAAACGGATATTCTTGGCTCAATTATTTTGTGTTTCATAGCTGCCTGAATGAATATTTTCGCTATATTTTAAAATGCCCATTACACACTAAAACACAATCCTGTGGGTAGATATATAATTATCTATCCTGTTTTGATTCGATATATGAGGTAACTATCCACAACTAGCGTACTACTTTTCAGACAAACAATCGTTGGTGTTTCTTGATACTAGGGGTTGTGTTCGATTCGCTGGGCAAAACTGCACTGCACTCTGGAGTTGTCTGTTAGCGAGAAAGAGAGGGAGGGAGAGAAGTCCTTTAACATCGTGAAAACATTGAAGATTACTTTCTCTTCAAGTACCTAAGAAAACAGATGGATTAATAATGGTCGTCATATCGACCAGAAAGTGTGAGACTACAGGGACAGCTTCTTGAGATTATTTACACATACTCTAGAGGTCTGTGAATTAGATGCAGTCGCGATGGAATCGCGTCCACTAACTCCCGCTTGTCAGCATCACATATTTATGGAAATATAGAAACATTTTTTTTTCAGAAACTATCCGTTGCTTCTCATAGAGTGAAAATAACATCGTTAAAGGCACTTGTTATATATAATCCGCAACAGACATGAAACAAAGTAGGAGGCTTGAATTTACCGACGTCTTTGTATGTGTCGTAATTTACACTGAATAGCTTTACGTATTTTATGCATTCCATGAATATCAAAACCCATACACTAATGACTATCATCTAAGTCGAATCCATAAGGCAGTGAAGCAATGCGGGGGAGTTGCGTTCCTATAGTTTCCGGTGACACCCTTTGATCCTCTAAGTATTCTAAGGCGAATGTATACACCATAGGTTTGGAATCAGTTTTCCAACTCCCTTGACTAGATAGACCAGCATGTCTATCAGTTGGGTTGTAAGCACCACATGTTCGGAATTTCCCTTTCATAGGAATAGGACTTACTCCCAGTAGACTAGGAACGCACCGATTCGCTACACCCTCCTTTATAGCTGTCAGTGAGATACGATGGCCATTTCAAGTGGAAGACATGAAAGGCCTGTCTAGCTAGATGTCTTTGGTCATAGACGTCTGCGTTCTATCTCCCGTGTTAAGTAGTGGTATAGTGTTATAGGGTGAGTAATATTAAAGTGAGACATCGGTTGAGTGCTATTAGGTAAGGGGGGAAGTCAATCGACGAGGTTGTGAAGTTACACCGATTGAGATGGTTAGGATAGGTGTGATGCATGCATGACTAACCATTCATCATCTTCCTCGACAACTAGCAATGTTAGCTGACACAGGATGAATCAGGTTGTTGGAAAAGACCTAGTGGTTGGTGGTCAAACCGAAACTTGGCGGCATCAGTCAGGGAAATCCACAACAGTTAGTTTAAGGCACGTAGAGAGGTGTGGACTTCCTAACTAGTTGACTGGTGTCCTAGAGATGGTAAGAACCAATGAAGATTGGAAACAATTATCGGTGATATGGCTCAGAATCCTCGTTCTCAATGGCTGGCACAGATGCATCCACTCATTATGACTTATAATATTCAATAAAACTCTATTGTTCTTCCACTATATTACTACCATTCTTTTACACTCAGTCACACTTCTGTTTATTATCTCTCTCTCTATCTTTTGAATCTCTGTTTGCTCTTGTCTTTTGCTCTATGTGTGGTAGTACATGGAGGGAGAGTGGCAAGTTGAAGTGCTGCACATCTGTGCGAAGTACTACCTTTGTTGAAACCAGTCAGTTCGTCAATCAATCAGTCCCTTAGGTTAAGTCACCAGCATGTCCACCACTATACTTGTGAACACCAGACTATCACATTCGCCTCCAACCACCCACCCCCACCCCGCTTTCCACACTCATTTTGCATCCTTATCAAAATGAGAAAATGATCAAAAGGTGTATTTTATACACTAACCCCTGTTTTCGTGTCTTAGGCACTGGTAAAATAAAAAGTTAGGGAGTAAACCACACTCACCGGCATACTGCCTCATTAATTGTCTTGTAGTTTTCTTCAACTTCTAAGTTGTTAGCCTGCAGTTCACCTTTTAACTCTTTTACATTGAGTATTTTTTCCCAGTTTTCTTTTTCACCAACTATTGAACATTCACATATCAATTTATTGATTGAATCTTCTAAATCAATTAAAGTTTGATGTAATTTTAACAAATATGAACAATTTGTATGCATGTCTAATAGTTCTTGCAGTTGACTAAAGGCTTCTTCATGAAACGCTGAAGCTGATGACACCCTTTTATCGTCTTCATTGAGTAGATTAAATTTGACAGATTTTAATTGAGGTATAACCTATGGGAAATAAAGAAAAGGTTGGGGGAGGAAGAAGCGTCAAAAATAACTTGTTTAAAATAATAATAATAATAGTCATGATCAGTAGGGTACAGCAGGTTGAAGATGAGGTAGTAACTCATCGAAGAAGACATTGTGAAGTGGTCGTGCTATGTCATGAATTGGCAGAAGTTAGAATTCATGGACTGGTCATTGGATCGAATTGGATCCCAGTGGCTGAATGAATGGTCTACGCGCTCACTAGCCTTGTGACCTGAAGGTTCTGGGTTGGAACCCCACAGTGTCGGTGCGTACTACTGAGGAGTCCCAAACTAGGCTGACGAAACAGCTGTCCAGTACTCCCTGCAGGTTTACCAATGGTTCTCTAACTGATGTCAGTTCATGATGAACTCCTTCATTCAATCAAAACAAAATCCCTACAAAACAACCAATACTTGAAAATGACGATAGTCATAGAAAGACTTTACAACACTTAACGTTGTATCTCACAGGCGGTGTTTTTCAATGTCATGAAATAAAACAAAGAGGTGTACATATGAAAGAGTCGATAATACCGTAAATAAATAACTTGAAGTTTTGTATAACAGAAATTTACAAAAAATAAACTAATTCCCTGATATAAGAATAGAACTTGTGCACAGTGGTGGCGGTAGAGTATAATTCTACTATGGGTAAAATTTATTTTGACAAAGTCTCACACAGTGTGTTATACAGCAAGTAATATTTACTGATGATAACCACGTTTCGAGCACAATTTATTACTGCTCATAATCATCATACCAAGGCACTACGCACACGCAAAAATTATTTATTTATTCATTTAAACGCAAAAAACTTGGTACAATATGGCACCAAGAAAGATGCGCCACACAATAATAATAAAACAACATGGATTACAAGTAAAAATATAAGTAGAGAGCGGGAAAAGAACTTCATCTGGAAAGAAAAGTCATACTTGACAAGTTCAAACAGTATTCGTCAACTATTATCGGGAAGGAAAGAAAGAAGGAAATTGCAGCACGTTCACCATTGATGATTGCGATTCTTGGCCACATCCGATAACGTTTCGAGCCACCGATTCGGGCTATTTCGCGGACCCCAACCAGGGAGTCGTGACACACCAACAGATGCTAATCTACTACAAATATCCTTCATCCCACGACGCCACGTCATGGACTGACCACCCCTATGCAGGTACAGTCTCCTGCCAATCTTGTAACAGTACTTTGCACTTAGACGGAGCAAAGCACATACCATGCTTACAGACACTGATCGCCAACTGATTAAGTGCGATTTGGGCAGCCTGCATGCTATCGCACAGTAAGACGATATTGACTGCACACTTGAGGTCGAAAACTCTATCTCCACCTAGCAGATCTAGACCGCCTTCATACACAACCTTCAGAGTTGACTCCAGAATGTCATCGATGGCAGAGTTGAAGAGAAATGGAGAGATTGGGCAACCTTGTCTAACCCCACTGTTGGTTGGGAACAGTGATGATAGTTGGTTGGTTGTATGCCCCCACTCTACCTGAGGTGTTTCTGTATAGGGCTTTCAAGATGTTAACAAATTTCTCAGGTACACCTCTCTCTAACAGACAGTTCCAGAGCACACTTCTGTCCAACGAATCGCAGGAAGCACTAATATCAAGAAACACTACGATTGATGACCTGCAGTACGTGAGGCTTATCAGGGAAACAGGTGGTAAAAGGCAAATGATAAGCGAAACAATCTCCGAGAAAAATGGCACTATAATTAGCTCCCAGGATAGACGTCTGGAGCGCTGGAAAGAACACTATGAGGAGCAGTTTAATTGGCCCACAGCCACACTTAACCTACCGGACATGCAGCACCTCCCTGAATGGGAGATAGACACAGGTCCTCCGTCCTTAACCGAGGTTACTAAAGCTGTCACCAATCTGAAGCTAGGCAAAGCAGCGGGACCTGATTTATTGACTCCAGAGGTATTTAAGTACGGAGGCGACAGTTTACTGTCTGCGTTAACGGAGGTTCTAGGCAGCGTCTGGGAATCAGAGGAAGTCCCATCGGGTTGGTGTAAGTCACTGATCATCCCGATATACAAGAAGGGGGACAAGTCGTCTTGTGATAATCACAGAGGGATTAGCTTGACTAATATAGTATCTAAAATCCTAGGCTCAATAATACTGCGTAGATTAAGTGGTGCTCGGGAGACACAAACACGAGAAAACCAGGCAGGTTTTAGGCCAGGTAGAGGGTGTATTGATCACATCTTCACCCTTCGACAGATTCTAGAACATAGGCATTCCTACCGGCGTCCGACAATCATTATATTTCTTGACCTAAAGGCGGCATTCGATTCCGTCGACCGGGAGGTTCTCTGGCGATGCTTGGCTGTAAAGGGAATGCCAAGAAAATACATTGCACTGATTAAGGCACTCTACTCGTACTCATGCAGCCAGGTGAGGGCTTATGGCGAGTTGTCATCTGAAGTGGTGACGACTAGTGGCGTCCGTCAAGGATGCCCATTATCCCCATTCCTATTCAATTTCATCATAGATGTACTAATGGACTTAACCCTAACTCACTTCAGCGACTCAGGGATTGACTTGCTACCAGGGAAGAATCTCGTTGACTTAGAATACGCGGACGATATAGTCCTTCTAGGCGAGGACTCTGACAAAATGCAGAGTCTACTGAACACCCTGAGCAACAACCTCCGCATGTTTGGCATGCGATTCGCCCCTATAAAATGTAAGATGATGCTGCAGGATTGGACTTCATCGACCCCTAGATTAGAAATAGGAAGTGAAGTGGTAGAACACGTTGACCGCTTCACTTACTTGGGAAGTACCATCAGCCCCAACGGGTTGATCTCCGACGAAATTTCAGCACGAATACAGAGGGCTAGGTTCGCATTCGCCAGTTTTCGCCGTCTCTGGCGTAGACGCGATACCCGACTATCGACCAAAGGGCGTGTGTACTGCTCAACAGTCCGCTCCGTCCTCCTTTATGGCTGTGAGACCTGGCCATTGAGAGCAGAAGACATGAAAAGATTAGCTGTCTTCGATCATAGGTGTCTGCGTTCTATCTCCCGCGTGAAGTGGAATAATAAGGTGAGCAATATTGAGGTTAGGCGTCGAGTGCTAGGTAAGGCGGGGAAATCAATCGACGAGACTGTGAAATTGCATCGACTGAGATGGTTAGGACATGTGCTACGTATGCCTAGTCATCGCCTTCCTCGACGGGCAATGTTAGCTGATATAGGGTCAGGCTGGAAAAGAGCTAGCGGCGGTCAAACCAAAACATGGCACCAATCAATGAAATCCACAACAGTTAATCTAAGCCACGTAGGAAGATGTAGACTTCCTGGTTGGGGCCCTCGGGATGGTAAAAACCAATGGTTGGAAACAATTGGTGACATGGCTCAAAATCGTTCTCAGTGGCGCAGATGCATCCACTCCTTGTGACTTATGATTTCCAATTAAACTTTTGTTCTCCGTTATTACTATTCCTTTGTCTCACACCACTGTTTACTGTCTATATTTTGCATTTCTTCTACTTCCTTCTCTTGCTTTGCGTGCTACATGGATTGTGGCGACTTGAACTGCCGCACATATGTGCAAAGTTCTATGTCGAAAACAGACAGACAGACAGACAGAGGCGGTGTTCCAACAACTGACGAAGGGTGAACACATGATCAATGCATCCACGACCTAAACAAAACCCAACCTAATCCTAATATCCACACACATTTGTATAAAAACGCATGTCATGTAAGACTTCCCTTCTTCATATATCCCCCTATTTTCGGATATAATAGTGGTACATTCTTTGCAGATGACTAGACAGTTCGTTGTAATCAAGGCCCTGGCTCTAGACCAGATTTTCATAGTTTCTGAGGTGTGGATGATTGGTAGACCTGTGATCATCCCATGGTCCTTCTCCTGTACGGAAGTCATGGGATATGCAGCGGCTGCACCGGGTCCCATGACTTATGAGTTCCTATTTTTGGTGCGCTGAAGTTACTTGACATTTTTTTAGTAGTGTCCCTTATCAGATGATTTTGAGAAAGCCATTACAGTGAATTAAGAATAGAAAACTTGTGCATAGTGGTAGTAGAGTATAATTTCATTATGGGTATAAAATTTATTTTGATAAAGTCTCACAGTGGTGTTATACAGCAAGTAATATTTACTGATGACGTTTTGTTTTCCTAAATTACTTATCTTCGCGGGTTCAACCATTCTAACCTTATCTAAATTCTTATGTTCCGAAAAATCTGACTACCCCTGATCTACTAATTTAGAAAAAAGCTCAGCGATTGCACTGCATACATTAACACATAAACACACAATAGGTTGAGTGGGACAGAGTCAAAATTCTAAAAAGTAATACAGGTAGGTGGAGATAGAGAGAAGTGGTTGATTACTGAATCCTGGTTCATCGAGTCTAACTACACCCAACACGTGTAATAGGAATGACTCAACACCAATACCACAGATATATGGAAAATACTACTACCGATCATCTAATCAAGCGATGAGTGGAAATAATGGAATTATATAAACCGAGTTAGAAGGTTGTGTGATTAGTGCCTTGATATGATTACCAGCAGTAATAAATTGTGCTCGAAATGTGGATATCATCAGTAAATATTACTCATCGTAAAACACCACTGTGTGAGACTTTATCAAAATAAATTTTACCCATAATTTAATTAATTCCCCTTTTAAACTGTTGGTAAACATTCATTACTTTTGTCTAATTCAAAAATGAAATCAAAGATTTGTTATGTGAACGATATGAAAGAGTTTGAAAAATCCAATTACCCATGAAAGCACTGATCACGCTATTACAAAAAATAAATAGGTACTATAGGTCGGTCGGTCGGTTTTCGATACAGAACTTTGCACATATGCGCGGCAGTTCGAGTCGCCACACTCCCTCCTTGTAGCACACAAAGCAAGAGTAGAAAGTAGGAGAAATGCATATCAGAGACAGTAAACAGAGGTGTGAGACAAAAGAATAGTAACAACGAAGAACAAAACAGTTTAATTGGAAATCAAAAGTCACAAGGAGTGGATGCATCTGCACTAGCCATTGAGAACGATTTTGAGCCATGTCACCAATTGTTTCCAACCATTGGTTTTTACCGTCCCGAGGACCCCAACCAGTCAGGAAGTCTACACCTCCCTACGTGGTCTAGACTAACTGTTGTAGATTTCATTGACTGGTGCCATGTTTTCATTTGACCGCCGCTAGCTCTTTTCCAGCCTGACCAACCCTATATCAGCTAACACTGCTCGTCGAGGAAGACGATGACTAGGCATACGTAACACATATCCTAACCGTCTCAGTCGATGTAATTTCACAGTTTCGTCGACTGATTTCCCCGCCTTACCTAGCACTCGATAGGTACTATAACACAGTCACTATTGTCGTAGAGTCCCGAAACAACAATGAAACAGCTGTCCAGTACTTCCCTGATGTTTAATGCTTCTCTGACTGATATCAATCCATGATGATCAAACTTAAAACAAATGAAATTAATCTGATGCACCCTAGTGACTGCCCCCCCCCTGGATGAGGCTGCCTGGAGTTCTAGTGAGAAGTCATAACCAGTTGGGTTAATAAGGTCGGCGGTCGGCGGGTGACAAAGAATATTTTTAACAGGTTGCAGATATTTATCAATAACTGTCTTCGTTCTATACTCAAGATCAGATGGCCGCCGGAAAGAATAACCAACAAGAAACTATGGGAACAAACAAAACAAGAACCAATCGCCCAACAAATATGCAGGAGAAAGTGGAGATGGATTGAACACTCGCTGAGGAGGCCGCTGGGTGACATCGCGCGTCAGGCCATTGCTCGAGTGGAACCCGAAAGGGAAGCGGCGAGTAGGACGTCCAAGGGTGACATGGAGGAGATCGTGTGATGAGGAACTGAAACAGTATGGAATAACATGGATGCAGGTGAAAAGTACAGCAGAAGACAGAAACAAGTGGAGGCGTGCAGTTGAAGCCCTATGTTCCACTAGGAACCCAAGGGAACAATAATAATAATAATAATGAGGATGATATTGGCTGGTGCCAGTCGCGCTAAAACTACGGATTGGTAGAAGTTGAAATTCATGGTTTGGCCGTTGGAATCAGGTCCCAATAGCTGAATGGTCTTCAAGCTTGTCGTATAATCGGACCGGAAGGTGTTGGGTTCGAACCCCACTGGTAGGTTACTACTAGAGAATCCCCAAACCAGGACGAAACAAATAATCAATACTCCCTGGTTTTTAGTGGTTCTCTAACTGATATGAATCCGTGATCGATCCTGAGACTAGGACTACATAATAGAAAAATCAATAACAGCATAACCCACTACTACTAACTGCATAATAGTCCAAGTTCGTATAGCGCCATAAAGCAGAGAAGAAAAGAACATAGAAGACTAGTTGTCATTGTATATGTACCATTATGATCCATCTTCAGTTAGATTACTTAATTTCTAAACATCGTTTACTATGAATACCAATCTGAAAACCAACACTTTCTCATATGGCTTAGCTTATTGTCAACGAATAGTCAACAGTTCCACTATATATGTCAGCCTTCAATACTTTTAGTTCCTAGCCTTGATAGTCGTTTACACCAGCTGTACTCCTTTGGTTGTTTCTACACTTCTGCTTATAGCCTTAATGAATTGGTTGTTTCTGTCAGCTTAAGACCCACAGTTTGTAAATCGAGAGAATAAGAAACATGTAAACCTTTGAGAAGATGTTTGGCATACAATTCGCTCCCTTTGTCAAATGTAAGATGATACTACAGGACTGGTTGGACTACGTTGATTCACTCCTAGATTATAAATAAACGGGAGTAAAGTGGAAGGTCACCTTGACCGCTTCACTTATTTCGCGAGTTGCACCAGCCAACGCCAGCGGGTTGATCGCTGACGAAATCTCTCCACGGATATAGAAGGCTAGTTTCGCAAATGCCAGCTGTCTATCGACCAAACGGCGGGTGTACTGCTCAGCAGTCCACTCCGTCCTCCTTTATGGCTAGCTGTGAGTGACACATGGCCATTCAAAGTGAAGACATGAAAAATCTGGCTAGCTGTCTTTGATAATACGTACCTGCCTTCTATCTGCGGTGTTAAGTGGTAGAATAGGGTGAGCAATATTGAGGTTAGGCATCGGTCGAAAGTGTATCAATCAAAGTTGAGGAGTAAAAACAAAGATGGGAAGAACTATTGACAAATTAGATAAGTGGGAAGATGAATGAAAATCTTTACGAAGAAATGCATACAGGACATTTTTCAATACGTAGACATGTGTCCCCGATATCTGGAAAATTCTACTACCCCTACGACGACAAATAGGAGAGAACAAAGAAAACTATAAAACTCAAGTGTCGAAGTCGTGTGATTACAATTGACATGATTATGAACAAAAAATTTTGTTCGAAACGTCATCCAGTAAATAATACTGTTTCACTGTGTGATATATCTAATAAACAAACTAATATGGAAAGTCAGTATGGAACACGTGCTTAGACTCCAACCATACCCCGGTTGGTGCACGTTTATGCTTATGTCTAAAGGGACATAAAAACTGTTGGGAGCACAGCGAAGCAATTACGCCCCACCAGCTTGTTGAAGACACTGACTCCCTATTTAAGGAAGAAATAGCGAAACGAGTATCTGAGGTCGACAGTAGGACCACTCCTGAGGAAGTCCGGCACAATGTACAGTTAGCTGTAGACACAGCTGTAAAGGCGGTTAATAAGCTAAAACCAAAAGTAAGTAAGAGCCAGTGGATTTCCATTATCTCATCCGAAATGATTAACGCAACAAAAAAAACTGTTTCCGGCGAGCTCCAAATATGATGAGAAGCGAAAGCTGCTCAAACGCAATCTAACAAGAAGTCTTCGTAACGATCACAAACAGTGGTGGGCGAGAGATGGAAAAGGCATCGGTGATAAGTAACACCAGACAACTATTTAGACTTGTCAGGGAAAGAGGTGGCAAAAGACAAATGATAAGTGAAACAATCTCCAAGAAAAACGGTACCATATTTAGCTCACAGGATAGACGACTGGAAGCTTGGAAAGAACACTTTGAGGAGAAATTTAATTGGCCTACAGCCACGTTTAACTTACGCAGCATCCTCGGAATGGCAAAAACCAGTGCCTGAAGACAATTGGTAATATGGCTCAAAATTGTCTTCAGTGGCGCAGATGCATTCACTCTCAGTAATTTATACTATCCGATAAAATTCTATTGTTCTCCCATATTGCTATTCTTTTTGCCTTATATTTCTGTTTAACTTTCTTTTGAATCTCTCTTGCTTTGTGTGTTACAACTAGGGGGAGAGTGACAACTCGAAATGCTGCACATCTATGCAAAGTTGTACGTTGGAAACAGTCAGTCAATACTAAACCGCTGTAACTAACAATTTCAACACATTGCCAAAGTTTTCTTAAAAGACTTGCACAACCCCAAATGTTCCCAGAGTTTTACTACCAGGTGCGTTACATATAGGTAAACAAGCGGTTCACCTACAACCAGATTTCGAAGCATTCTCCGAATGTAACAGTGTTACAAACAACTAAATAGGAAATAAAATTGTTGAAAAAGGCCTGCGACAGCCTTTTTGCTATAAATAAATATAGAAAGGAGTGAAGTTTTAAAAGAGTCTTAGACACAAAACACTTATTAATACCGGAGAAAAATATGACCTAACCTTTCCTCTTGCAGTCTCATATATACACCGGCAATGCTCTCCCAAAGCATCGAATTCGTCAACCAATTGTTTAAATTGTGATTGAACAGGCTGGAAATCATGATGACTTTGTAAATGAGTCAGTAGATCAGACTTAGCATTCAATAATTCCAACCTTAATGATACAATATCGTCTGTCATTACTCTTGCAGTAAATCAACCAACAAGTTAACCAAAATCTGAAAAATAAGAAGAAAGAAAACAGAACGTGAGCGATAATCAAACAAGTTCTTCTGCAGGCAGGAAGTGTAGCATAATTAATGTGAGTGCAGTCGTTATGATAAGAGGATGGAGCATTTAAATCTCTTCCCATTATCATATCGAAGGAGGAGAGGCGACTTAATTTTGGCTTACCGTATATTCAAGGGTGATTTAGGGATTGACCTTTCAAACCTTTTCTCTCCCTCTAGAATACATTTACGGGGTCACCAGAAGAAGGTGCTCAAACCAAGGTCGAATAAAATACGTTTGGAGTTTAGATTCTCTCACAGAGTGGTCAACGACTGGAACTCCTTACCTGATTCAGTAGTAACAGCTCCATCGGTGAACGCTTTCAAAGAGAAACTGGATCTCTACAGAGGTATATATAGCGAGGATTAACATAGGCAACAAGAGCCTTCTATCCTTATAATCTGAATCTGAATCTGAGTCGTATAAGAACACGCTTGGGAGTGCACACACCCACGTGATATGTCAGATGAAGATTAATTGTTTTTACGATGGTGATGCATTTTCTACACTTTGTTTGGATGACAGAAATTTTGAAATGACAGTAGAATTTCCTGCTGAACTTACTTTACAAACGACACCTAAGAACTACTCGACGGACGTAATTTCCTATGCCCGCCAGTGAGAGAAACAACTGACAGTTTTGCTTGTGATTGGTCAGTTTGTCATTAGAGTTGTGGCAATTTTAAACGCCACTCTGCTGTTTGATTAAGCACGAATATCCCAGGAACATTTTATTAAGCCGTCGGTATAACTAACATTACATACTATCAAAGCAAAGGAAGAAATATCATTTCAATGGATTGCTAGATCCAGTGAATTTGTTCGATACCAAAGTCGGCAAAGCTTAACACTATGACCTTGAAGAACCAATCAGAATTCAAGTGCTAAAAAGTAGCACAATCACTGAAAAATACACTGAAAAATGTTGCAAGCATGACTTTACACCTTGAAGTTGTAGCTTATGTGTCGTAAGAATATCTCCCAATCAATAGAGAAGTCGTACCATGCGCGACATATCCGTTCATCCAGGTGACTGTAGGTCATGGTACTTGGAGATCTGTAGCGGCAAATAATTCCCCAAAACTATTGACCACGGCAATCATCACTGAACATCGGATGCTGACCCTCACTGTTTAAGTCGACTTGTTTAGCTGAAGGCTTCCGGTCAAGCATCCTTACCATTTGTTACTCCGTCGTATCACGTGCGTGCACGATCACTAGCTAGTTAAGCACTCGATACGGTTTATTATTTGGTCCCGAAATATATCACGTACTTTTGACGATCATTTGTGGCGTTTTGCTTTGTGTTTGGTACACGAGAAACGAATACTTTAGAAGTTGTTGATATAAGATCTTGCGTTAGTATACTCCGTACAATTCGCGAACGTCGATACCGTCAGCCTACAGAGATCCATTGATATTTCTGGTACTATTCTTGGAGCTTCCCTTACTCAAACCATAATCTTAACACTAACTTCAACCCTTAACCTTAATCTGAAATGCCATATTGCTAAGTAACAGTATAAATTTCCAGAAAACGTGTCTAGTAAATAAGTAGAACACTGTTCGACTCTAAGTTCAACAGGGGGGACGTTATTTGATTTGAAATGACACTTCATGGGATTCCTTATATCCAACCGGTTCTTGGAGATCAGATTTTGAAAGACCTTATCTTCGGCTATTGTACTTTAACTTCTCAAAGTCCAGAGAATCTGCAGAAGTGTCGAGAATGCAACCAAAGTTCCGAAGAGGTGGTAAATGTATGCAGCTTCAGTTATCGGTTGGCTGTTATCTTCAGCGAACAGCAACACTGTTGATGCGGCATATAAGTACCTATGTATTGTCTATTGTTGTCATGGAAATCGGAAATTTAGCATCGAAGGAGGTCATAGTGAGTATTTTAATACTTGTAAGCTTCATGATTTTAGTCGAAATACATTAGGTCTCCATGGTCAAGTTAAACTTTATGCCATTGGTACTTACTGATGCTTGAAGTTTAACTTTGCCGTTTCCATTTAGTTGTAGAATAAATCTTGAGTTCAGTTTGGAATTAACTAGTTGACCCCATCAGTATTGCAACATTCACGTTTTCACTGCGAGATTACACCGGTGAAAGAAAGTAAATGTTTCCTTTATAAAATTAGGTAATAAGTTTAACTGTTGTGATTGTATCACTAGTAGCCATATAAGTTAATAGTGAATTTATTGTTTTAATAATACCTATTATCGCTGTTATTATAGCCATCAAGAAAGCTGTCATTACTATTATTGATGTTAATATTGTTATTATTTTTCATAAAGCCGTTATCATTTAGATTAAAACTTCTGTTCAAGCTCTAGAAATTACTGCATAACTTACTATTAAATAGTCATATCAGTTCATGATGCTTCCATGGTCCTACTAACTGTCTACCAGCAATCATAAAGACCCTTAATTTTGATGAAAACTACTTCTATATATTGTTTGTAAAGTTGATGCTTGTAAGTAACTATCAGATAGCGTTCTGGAAGATTTTTGTATTCAGATCATATATGTAGCACCCAAGTTAATAGTGCTTTTCTTGAACCTTTTCAGAGCATATTTGTACTGTGTGCGTAGATGGAACCTACAGACAATATCAGAGGATTGCTCGCCAGAATTATCCGTACACCTGAAATCTAACTTTTGTGTAATAAACACTTGCTCACTGAATCCTTGGTCCCTCGGTTGCAATGCGATTGTGTTTCAATAACATAAACAACATGTGCTAGGGCGCGAACCAAGGGTTAACAAATAAGAAGTAATGCGGCGTCTGGGAAACTTTGTTGATGTGATTAGGTGATCAGATAGTAACGTACTGTATTCTGTGGCTGCGAACAGTAGGCATTATGTTTTAGATTAATAACATAGCCGTAGTTGCATTGAGTCATTCGTCTAACAGTAGAGTTACATTCTTTTCCTCATGGTACATAACGATGTTCACTTTGTGACTATAGACCGCAAGCCAGTTGATTAGATCTGCTAAGATGATAGATATCTCCAAATGATTTATAATCTAAATACCTTCTTTGAAATGTGGACATATTTACCTCTTTTGAGTGCACCATAATCATTTAACCAAAAAACTTCTCCAAATACCGACTTTAATTAGCACCCCACAACTTACACAAAGGCTAATACTCAGCCATATCAAGTAGAATATACAAACAACTAACGAGGAATACATTTATTAATGAATTAACATGTAAAGTAAAATCAATGACACTGTGGAAATGCACGATATCATTACCTTCCCGTTATTCAGAAGGGACGTTGCTCTTTTGGAAAGGGTCAAGTGTCACTCGACAAGAAGACTGATGTGTCTCCAGAAAAAACCATGCCGTGAAAGGCTGGAGAAAGTAGCTTTTTTCAAACTTAGCCACCGTCTGCTTGGGGGAGACCTAATTACTGTCTACAGTATTACAAATGACCACAATCGCCCTAACAAATTCACTCTTCCATTAAGCCGCTATGGGCCTCCACTTGGCAATCCACGAAGTATGATGCATCAGACAGCAAAGACTTGATTGCATTCCCATTTCTTATCTTTACGAATGCGTCACCCAACAGCTGCGGTTACTGCACCGTCCGTGTAAGAATTTAAACGGAGGCTGAGTGGTAATGCAGTAGCAAGAAGAACTGCGTCCAAATGGCCTATTCAGTTAATACTCGCGCGTTGGTGGTACAGTGGTTAGGACTCTCGCCGACCATGCACATGGTCCGGGGTTCGATCCCCGGCCGACGCACTCCTTTGCCACGAAAAAAGTTAATACTCGCATACTAGTGATGGCTATATATTCAGACTTTTCCTATGCCACTTCCTATTCTCCCTTGCCTCACTACTGTGACAGCTCTAGCTACTCATTCAGCAATATCACTTTAAAGTGGACTCCAGGTCTCACTTCAAGGAATCAGCCTAAATGTTATGGAAAAAGCGTGCTCTGGTAGAGAATCCCACTAATCCATAATTCACTGTGGGGGATCATCTTCCGAATAAAACCATTTTGACCGTGATGTTGGAAATTTAAGATGATGTCGCTACACAATATTTTTCCAAAGAGAATTTATGTCCATCTGGTTATTTACGCTTAAGTTGCAGGTTCGAAGAAGTAAATACTGATACTCATAAAAAATTCCTATGACCATATCAAACACGACTTTTAGACGATCAGCACTAAGCAGTCTAACTATTATCGGATGCAGCGCCAGTCTTTCTCAAAAGCTGCCTACTATCGAAAATCTTTGTGAAGCAAAATGTTGGATGTCCCCCTCAAAACATCTAGAAGAGAAGCTCAATCTTCATGTAGAAATAATGTATTGGTTAAAACATGACGAGTTCTTATCTAATAGCTTACTGAAAAATGGACATAAACATAAACCGGCAGTAGAGCTTGTTTACTTTCCCACAGTTGTAAATCTCCATTTTTAGCTTTGTCCCTTCAACTACGGAAGGTTAATGTTGTTTATTACAGTTAGCAGTCCGAAAGCCTTAAAATATTAGGGAGATTGGGGATCCGATCCTGACTCCTGCGCCTGAAGAGGAATAGCAGGATAAGGTGAAAAAGATGTGTGATATTACTCTCTCCCGAAGGGGGTTGTCGCGGAAGCGTCATTCGAAAACAAAATTCGGAAGATGGAGTAAGCAGTAGAGCAAGTAAAGGGACTTCTACATATTAACACTGGCTGAAAAGCGAAGATTAAGTTCAGACGCTTGTTGACCATTATTGAAAATCAAGGGTAATTGTCCCTCTGGCTGTCATCTGAAAGGTTGCCTACCAGGAATTCTGTACCCTAACAGTAACGAATATTCCGACAGTCTTTAATATATTCTTATAAGCGACAGAAAACAGATTCGATTTTTCCAAGAAATAAACTTGTGGTGCAATTGGTCCAAGCCATTCAGAATCTCAATTGTTGCTGATACTCTCCTGTATTTCAATCTTTCCTCCATCCTCTGTTTTCCGCTTGTTTTTCCTCTATTTGATTTTCTGAGTGATCAGAAAGTATGTATGATCAAAGACGTTCG